TGTATCGTGTTAGGCACTTTACATATTTTATCTTATTTAATTTTCAGAACAACGCTAGGAGCTAGGTCATATATATCTTTTTTATATAACTTTATTTATTTTTTTCCCCCAAAGCCCCAGTAGATAGTTGTATGTCATAGCTGCACATCCTTCTAGTTGCTGTATGTGGGACGCGGTCTCAGCATGGCCGGAGAAGAGGTGCGTGGGTGCTCGCCCGGGATCTGAACCCCCGCCAGCACTCAGCAGCAGAGTGCGTGCACTTAACCGCTAAACCACAGGGCCGGCCCAGAACATTGTATTTAAAAATGTCAAATTAGCTGTCCCTTAAGCTTTAGAAAATTTCACATTAACATAGCATTAGGCTGCCCTGGGGGGGCGGTGGGGTGGGGAAGGAAGCTCTAACAACCCTAGAGCAGCATTCTTGCTTGACAGAGCCCAGGCAGGGCTGCCGCTGGGTGGAGCACACACCGGCCATTTCACTAAGGTCTCTGCAGCGCCACCCGTGGGTGTTACCTGGCGGCCCCTATAGGCATTTTCATTTTTACTTCTTATTAGAGTTTTTAAAAATACTTAGTAGAGTTTTATTAACTTCTAGTTTGTATTTTTAATTTTATTTTTTTCTGTGTTATTTTTTTAATAATGATAAAAAGTTAATACTCATTATAGAGAATTTTTACACCATAAAACATTAAAGGAATAAAAGTCACTCACATACCACCTGGGAGCTACCACTATTAATATTTCCTTCCAGGCATCATTTCCTTTTTGGTGGGGTCAGTCTCTCTCTCCCTCTCTCTTTCTCTCTCTCTTAATTTCTGGTGTTGATAATTTATATACAATTTTAGATCATGCTATTAAAAGAAAACTCTGAAGATGATGTTGATGTCTGTATAATATTCTATTGTATAAATGTAAAATAATTTTCTTAACCATCGTACAGATGAGGAAACTGAGGCACAGAACAGTTAAGTAACTTTCCCAAGGTCTTACAGCTAGTCAGCACCAACCCTGGGCAATCCAAGTCTGTTTATCCAGAGCCCTGCTCTTGTCTTCGTGTACCGTTGTGTGTACTCTGCTTCCCAGTCACCAGTTGGGAGCACTGTTTTTCTCAGATGGCTCAGAACCTTCCGTCACAGTGCTCCTCTCAAGCGAGTCTTGTCGTGGTGAAACCTTTGAAGTTCAACATAAACCTTCTCTTATAAAACCAAACAACTCTCTTTAAATCACCTAAGCTCGGGGCCGGCCCGGTGGTGCAGCAATTGGGTGCGCGTGCTCCACTTCAGCAGCTCGGGGTTCGCAGGTTTGGATCCCGGGCACGCACCCACGCACTGCTTGCCAGGCCATGCTGTGGTGGCGTCCCATGTAAAGTGGAGGAAGATGGGTGCGGATGTTAGCCCAGGGCTAGTCTTCCTCACCAAAAAAAAAAAAAAAAAAAAATCACCTAAGCTCTTTGCCTTGGCATGTAGACCTTCGAGATACAGAGGGTTATTTAACAACCACCAGGTGTGGAGCACCTCCTGCGTGCCGGAGTGTACCAAGCCCTTTGCACATATTTTCCCATTTGATCCAGAAAATAACCTAGTGAGGCCTATGGATTTATTGTCCTCATTTTACTAGTGAGGAAACTGACGTTCAGAGTGGCCCAGGTGAGGTTCAGATCTGGATCTGTGTCATTCCAAAATTCATGTTTTTTCCCCCACCTCATCCTGATTCCTTGCAGTAAAAACGTGCACTGTTTTTGAAAGTTCTTCAGTTCTCTTTGTAAAGCTTCTTGGTCCTTAAAGGTGATGGATCTTCCAGTGCAGTGATAGTGGGGTGTGGTCCCTGGGTTTAATGAGCCCCAGCACTTGCAGGGAGCTAGAGCTCCCACCTCTGCCTCACGCCAGTCTGCACGTCTTTGTCTCAGACCTCATGCCACCCAGCTCTAGCCTTGGTGGCCGTGGCAGTAGCATACTTTGCCCTCATGCTCAGGTAGAGGGCCTCTGGGCTGTGGTAGACTTTCCAGCTGTGGGGACAAGTACCACTCTAAGGATACCAGAGCACCTGTCATTTCTGTCCTATTCTGTGGAGATTGGTACACATAGGGTTGGGCCTAGACATTTGGTCTGTAGGGTTTTAAATAGATGACTTCACCCAGAGGCGGGCCTCAGAGAGGAGAGACCTCATCGTGCCAGGCTCTGAGCTCTGTCTTGATAGGCCCACACCCACTGTGGGGTCTGCAGACAAGCATCAGGCATCCAGGTTCCTGATAGAGACCAGTTCTCACCCTGTCTGTAAAGAAAGGGAGAAATGGGTGTGGAAGGTTCAAGAAAGGTTAAGAGAATATCTTCCAAATGAGAGGCATTTGGACTGAGAGTCCCAAGGCTAAGGTTTTCAGAAGCCACTGACACCATTAATCATCAGCCCATGGGCACCGAGGCCCAGACTGAGCTATGAAAAGCTGCTACATGGCTACGGGTCTCAGGAGCAGTTTGGCACAGCCGAGCTTGGCGCACTTGCCTCTATGGGCGGAAACCAGAGCAGAGGGGCAGTGGCCCATCGGGAACTTTGGAGTAAGGAAATGCTACCCCTTGCCACCTCTTTTTTCTTTACGTGGTCATTTCTGTCCCATTTCGGGGAATGTTAGAGAAAGTTTATTCAGAAACCCTCGTGGTGGGCTCAGGGAGCCCAAGCCCTGTAAGAGTGGCCCTCGTCTGTGCTCTTAACTCGCAAGCAGACAGGCTGGGGTGGCTGGATCCCTGGTTTTGGAGCAGGCGGGTTTGGATCCGGGCCTGGGCACGGAATGGGTCTGTGACTTGGACATTGAATCCTGCACCACTCCTGTTTTTCTCCCCAGTGACTTGCAGGGATGTTGCCTCCTCCCACGGTTTCTTGTGAGGATTGAGAGAGGTTTGATGTAAGAAAGCAGCGAGCACAGGGGCCGATGCAGAGTGGGCGCTCAGTCAGTGTGTCCTGAAACGGAACACAAGGCCTGATTGGTGGAAGAGCCATCAGCACGTCCAGTGCTCATTTGGTTACTTAGAATTGTTCAAAGATTAACTCAGGCCTCTATGGGAAAGGACAAGCCCATCCCACAACCTTGAGGAATGAAAGAGAGATGAGATTGGGCCACCACATGGCGAGGGGTTCCCAGAGTAGAAGCCTTTGCTGTTGTTCTGTTGACTGGTTGGGGGTCAGTTCTAACCCCTTTTCTTAGTCTGGTTTGATGCCCAGAGAACTAGCACATTATCCATAAGGGAAGAAGGAGTAGGGCGAGAGCAGCAATAGTAGTAGCATTTATTGAGCACTGGCTATCTACCAAGCAGTAGGCTAAGTTGTTTGTAATCGATATCTTATTTAATCCTCATCACAGCCCCATGAGGTAAATGCTATTTTCCCCATTTTATAGTTAAGCCGAGACTCGGGTTAACTCACTTGCCCAAGGTCACCCAACTAGGAAATAAGAGAATCCAAGTTTGTTTGACTCCAAAGCCAGTGTGCCTCTTGGGATAGGACCTACACAGTTCTAATCTAATGACTATGAGAAGGCACGGACAACCACGCCTACTGTTATGTGTGAAATTTAACCTGCTATCCTTAGTAGAGACATGGGAACTACCCAATGCAGCTGTCCATCTGTGTACATATATGAATGTGTGTATGCACTTGTGTGGCTGTATTTACATGCTTTATTTACAAAATTATGTATGCTCAGCACACCTGAATGCTTGTATGTAATTACATACGGCTAAGGGTGTGCAAGTACCTGGAGGTTAGGAAGAGGCTGTGGCTGTGCATAAAGCGTGGGAGAGTGTTTGAGGGAGGGAACTCTTGGCTCGCTCTCTGTCTACTGGTGGTGATTTGATTTCCACTGTATTTCCTATATGAGGTGGGAAAATGAAAGATGCATGCACTTGTTACAATGGTGTACATACATGCTGTTGCATGAATATCTTGGGAGAAGGAAGACTATGTCCAGAAAGAGAATATCCTTCTTTGGGCCAAGGGTAGACCTCCCATTGCACACAATCCCAGCTCCTTAGACCTCAGTGGTGTTTGGGCTGCAGAGGGCAGGGGAGGGAAAGAACCTGGTCAAGTAGGAGGATCCCTTCCCTCCCCAAATCCCCTCTGACTGCTCACCTCTGGCACCTCTGCTCCTAACTTCCTAACATGTCCTAGGATTCGTTGGTCCTGGGCTCTGATTTGAGGCACTTTATCCTGGTCTGGTTGTCCCTGTGAGCTGGTAGGGATCCTCTGTTGCTCTTACAGGCTGAGGTAGCCCAGCTGCAAGAGCAGGTGGCCCTGAAGGATGCAGAAATCGAGCGTCTGCACAGCCAGCTCTCCCGGACTGCAGCTTTCCACAGTGACCATGCGGAGAAAGGTAACTGGCTTGACTGTGACAGAGTGCAGTGGCCCCTGGGCCCTCTCTTATGTGTGTCTGTGGATGAGTATGTGTATGCCTGAGTGAGTAGGCATGCTAATGTACATGCCTGTATGCATGTGAACATGTCCGAGTGAATGAATGCATGCGTGAGTGGGCCTATAAGGCACAGCTCTATTGTGGAATCATTGCCACGAACCCCTCCTCTGTCCGGAAGACCCAGCTCTGAAGGCTTTTCTCAGATGCACTCTGATCATTGAAGCTCTGTGCAGCCACCTCTGGAGTTTTTACTCTTTCACTTGATTGAAAGGATTTGTTTTTGTGTCATCACCAAAGGGAAGGCTTTAGAATCAATTTATTCAGTCATTTAATGGAATCCTGCCTGATACTTGTACAAGGCCCCGAGGTTGCAGAAACAATCAGTTATTTCTCATCCTTTGGATCTCAACTTAAATGTTACCTCTCAGAAAGACCTTTGCTGACCACCCTACCTAAGTAGGTGCCCCCACGCCTATTTTTCTCTAGCTCAGCAATTTTTTTGTTTCCTTCATAGTGCTTATTATAACTTATCAGTGTTGTATTTGGGGTGATCTCTTTCTATAGACTGTCATCCTCACTCTGGGCAGGGACTGTGTCTGTCTTGTTTAAGACTGTATCTACAGAGCCCAGCACAGTGTTCAGCCCATGGTAGGCTCCTAAGAAATATTTATTGAATAAGTAAAAAGAATGATCCTTGCAGAGTTTGTCTTGCTCATTAAAAATAGAGGATAAATCCTCAAATACTTTTAATTACCACAGACTTAATATTTACACCTATTTGCTTTGTATACAAAACGATCACACACCTTCCAACTTCTCTTACCATGAGGCTGCAGAGTGATGCTAGAGGAGATTGTGTAGCCCTTAGATTGGCCCCAGTACCGAGTCTCATCTTGGCCTCAGCACTGCTTAGCTTGGATCCCTGATGGGGTGGGGGAGCCATACAGCCATGAAACAATGGCTTAGGCAGGAGAAGGAGATTAGCGACCCATATGCTCATCCCTCCCCCAGCCTTTCCCAGTGTCTTCCCAAACCATTGAGTATGTCACTTACCTGCCAGGGCCTCATGTGGAGGCTGGGTCCCCCTGAGATACCCTAGACTTTCTGTGCCAGAGAACTCCCTGGGCCATGACTTCTAGACCAGGCAGCCTTCCCCTTGCACCCCATGCTTCCCCACAGTCCAAGCCTTCCAGGCCCTATGCCATTCCATCATCTGATACCTCCCACAGCTGGTCTTTTGGTCATTTGCTGCTCAGTTTGGGTCCTGCCCAAAGCATCGAGGTTTGCCAGACTTCATCTGGAGCTTACATCCTTCCCCACCACAAACCGGGCTGCAGAGCTGATCTTCCTGACCTAAGATAAGATAATGAGTAAGCACTCTGCACTTTCCTCTGAAAATGAATCCCTACAATTATTTACACAGTCCATGAATCCATTCTTCATATTCTTGTTGGAAATAGCAAGCATCCCCAAAGGAAATGGGGTGCCTATACTTCTGTTCCCTTGTCTCCTGTACTTTCTTATGTAGACATCATGTTCTCCTTTTACAGTACCCAGTTTGAGCATGGGTGTAGGTCCCTTTTTGGAAAACCTAACCATGTGCCAATTTCTAGGCCTCCAAATATTTGGCAGAATGACCTCCAGCTCCTTTAGGCATTGGCCTTTGACCTGGCTCTCCAGACCAGTTTGGGAAGAAGTCAAGAGAGTCCCTGTTGGGTCTAAAGTGAGACAAGGCCACGTATTGTCCACCACAGACTGACACAGATCCCTCGGCCCATAGAGAAGTTCTGTAGGTTTATGATGAAATAAGATTGTTTTCATTAACTGTAGAGTTTAATATATTTATAGATGCATTTAAACAGTTGTTAGTCAGTTCTGACTATACCATTCTAAATTAGGCCAAGCACCCAACTCTTTTACATAATTATTCTTTTCCAGTCTCCATTCAGCTGTAGACATTTTTTTCTTGTGTTAAATTCTCCTCTGCTACAATCCATGGGGCTATGTGATTTTCCCTGAAACTTGTTAGCAGCCCAGGTACATGCCTACTCAAGTTATAAAGGATAAATGTCTATTTCCTTGTGAGATGTTGGTTGTGAAAGACTTTTGGGTTCTTCTGTGCCACTTTTGAGTAAATGGCATTTTGATTTTTCCCACAAATGTCTATAAAGAGAAGACAAAACACTACATTCATTCGTTGAGTATTCCAGCAAATATTTCATGAGACTGACTCTATGCCAGGCATTATCATGGGTTCTTTAAAGAAGTAAAGGAGCCCACATGTAATTTATTCACATGGAAAGTCTTAACATCTTAGCATGTGGGGGTAACTGTCTGCATTTATATAAATAATTCTTTCTACACCTAAATTCTCTTAGACCAAGAAATTCAACGTCTGAAAATGGGGATGGAAACTTTGCTTGTTGCCAATGAAGATAAGGTAAGACAGTCATTGGGCAGCCCTGTCCTTTCCCTGCTGATATCCCTGGCTCTGGTCACTACTGGTCTCTGATATTTTGCACAGGGCCGTGCCCGTCAGGCCACTGGCTCAGGGGCATGTCAGGGGAATGGCCTCTGCCTTCTCGAGACTTGGCTCAGCCTTCTGTTTTTGGATTTGATGCCTGGAAACTTTGCCTAAATGGAATCTCCCAAAGGCAAATTAAAGCCATGCCTGTTCATGCTGGTGTGGGGAAAACAATACCACTGTGGTTACTGCCAATGTCATAGCTGCTGCTTAGACTCCTAGAAAAACTCGGGACCACCAATTTCCCACATGCACAATCTGGTGATAGACCCATCATAGAGACACTAGGCAGCATGCAGTGTTTCAGGTTACCCTGCCTTCATATATTCTTCACATTGAATTCCTGCATAATCATAAAACAGCCACCTCTGTAACTACAGAGCATCTACCTGGCACAGACGTCAGCTCGGAGGATCACAACGCTGCATTTTACAGATGAGGAAACAGAGACTCAAAGTGCTTAAGTCATTTTGCCCAAGGTCAGGTAACAGTAGATGGCAGAGCCAGGATTCACACTCAAGTTTGTCTAACTCTGAAATCTGTGGGGCTCCAAGTCCCCAGGCCTTTCTGAAAGAAATGATCCCCTCTGGGAATTTCCTCTGTCGTGTAAGGAACCTCAGACTCCTAAGGAACAGGTGAGGATATTGCAATATATATGACAGCTTTAGTTTTTTGAGTGTAGCTCCAGAGGGCAATACTCAGACCAGGAGGACGAGTTCAATGGCTACCTTAGGAGGGTAGGGAGACAGTGAGTTTCCTGCTTCTGGAAATGTGTAAGCCCCTTGAAGGCTATGTCAAGCAGGGATTGTTTTATGGCTAGAGACTGGACTCATAGCCTTCAGGTAGAGGCAAGAGTGCGTGCAGTTGCCTAGGAGGCAGACCACTGAGAACCCAGGCTCTGGGAAGGGGCCTGGACACCACGTTTCCCTTTGGAATGCTCCATTGTTCCACATAGCGTTTCTTCTCAGTGCGCCCAGCCCATAGCCTGGGCCCCAAATGAAATCACCTGAGGTGCCAGTGTGGTGTTTACATATGAGTCTGCTTTTGCACCATGACAGGACCGTCGGATAGAGGAACTTACGGGGCTGTTAAACCAGTACCGAAAGGTGAAGGAGATTGTGATGGCCACTCAAGGTAAGAGCAAGGCAGAGCCACCATTTTTCTCCCAAAGACATTCCATCTACTGTGTTAAATCTAGGGGCAGTCCTGCCAGAAGATTCTTCATCGTCATTTGGATAAGATCCTCTGCTGGAGAATGGAGCTGGTTAGATTGTCCTGGATGGTGGCAAATTGGCAGCTGTTGATTTCCAAAAATTTTGTCAAATGGTCAGTTCAGAACTTCCAGGGACTATCCAGATCACCAAGAAAATAAAGCTTTCAACTTGAGCCCTTGGGAATCGCCACCCTTGGAGGGTCTTCTCTGCATCTTCCCAGGATACCCCTTAGAGGCAGTCAGTGTGGTCAAACCTGGATCAAAAATCATTTCAGTGCCCTCATTGGGGATTAGAGCTTGTCCGCCTCGCAGAGAATCTACAAGCTCGCCCAGCAGGCTCCAGCACTTTGGGTGCCTTCTTTAGGCCTCTGGGTACCTGGGTTCCCACAGGAAGTCACAGGGCAGGGAGAGCTCTATGTGTTTATGTTTGCTGCCCAGACTGAAAGCAACATGCAAGGAGCATTAGTGTTTTTATGGGCATCGGGGGCATATGCCAGGCTGCCTGCCTTGTTGTTCATGCCATCAGCCGGGTCTCCCATCACAGATCTCGGGAAGCAACTGTGTCACAGCAGAGGGCTGCTTTGAGGGTATTCAGGAATCTCTGATTTCTGGCTGAGTTTCTGCCTCATCTTGGGAAGAAGCCGAACCCCAGCCTGGTTGTGGCTGGCTGGTCGCCGCCCAGGGCCACTGCCGGCCCTGCACACACATGTTGCAGCTATGTTTTCTCTAATCCTTTGGGATCTTGGGTCAAGTCAGGGCCTGATTGCCTGTGGCCAAGGCATCAGAATGTTGGAGAGGAATGCTAAGGAGTACTTTCTCTCTCTTCCACATGAGCTTTCACCTTGAGATGAGCCCCGTGGCAGCCCCTGCTCAGATGCCCTGAAGAATCTTCCAAATCACACTTTTAATGTCCCTCTGTGTGTTTCTTTGTCTTTCTTAATGAAGGAGAAACAATGTTAGGGTTTCATGGTACAATTATAGGTTTCTGAACAAATCACATGGTGGTGATCGTCCTTCTGCATTGATGCTTGCAGGGCCTTCAGAAAGAACTGTGTCAATCAATGAGGAAGAACTGGAGGGAAGTTTCAGAAAGTGGAACACTGCAAATAAAGGCCCTGAAGACTTACTTAAACCAGAGGTGCTATGTTTCATCCATGATGTGGGGTTTCGGCAGGCCCTAGGAGCTTATGCTGAGCCTGGGGGAGGATCTAGCAGGTACCTGTCGGGTATAAATCTTGACAGGTGAAAAATTAAATCAGTGGAGTGGCCCCAGAGGCCTTGGGGAGAGCACTTGAGGGTGGAAAGGGCCTGTGTTCCGGTCGGGAGGGCCAGCATAGTTGATACTGGACTTCCAAGGTTAGGAATTTTCTTTTTTAATCCAGTTCCTTGTTTTTTTTTTTGTCTTTCCTCTCTGGAATGTAAACACAGACCAAAGGTGGTGTTTGTTTTATTTACCACTGTTTCTCCAGGGTCTGCAATAATGCCCGATACCCAGTAGAATTCAACAAATACTTGTTGAGTGAATGAATATGTCTTGCTCATTTAGAGATAACTGCAACTTTTGAAGTGCTCCATTCCTAGTTCACAGACATCCCCTCCAGCCCCTAAAACCAGCATACAGATTTTCTTTCTCTTCTCTTTTGCTTGTTTAAAATCTGGTCCTATTACCTGCATCTCTCTGGATTTAAATTAGATACAAATAAGCAAATAAACTCCAAGATACAGATCTAAAGTGGAGAAGGGGTTTCAGCCCAGGATCTAAAAGGTTTGTGAAACTTCAGAATGGTCAAACTGAAAAGGATCTTAGTGGTCCAGCTGAACCCTTTTAACTAAGGGAAGAGCAAAAGTGTCACCAAATGACCCAGTTAACAAGTCAGAACAAGCATTCCAGATTGCTGACAATAATAAAATAGCAGTAACTGACACTCAGTACCTCTGAGTCCTGTCACCACACTCTGTGTGGTCACTGTGATGAACACTGTTCATGGCTCACCTCATATACTCCTCATGACACCCCACTGGGATCCTTATTTTATTGTGATGAAGCTGAGACTCAGAGAGGGTAAGTAATCTGCCCTATGTCACACAGCAAGTAGATAGCAGAACCTGGAACTGAACCCAGGTCTTTCTGACCAAAAAGCCCAGGCTTTTAACAACTGTGTTACAATGCCGGAGTTCTTCCTGTAGTGGACCAAAACCGTACTGGGCTCTGGAGAAAACAGGCGGTCTCTGCAGTTAGTGCAATACCCAAGACATCAGACTGAGTCCTTATACACCACCATTAGCTCATGTTCACTCCACCTGTAATGCTCTTGCCTTTCTGGCCATCTTGCCAAGCCCATTCTCATTTCTCAAGATTCAGCTCAAGTGCTTTCTCCTCTGAAGCCTTCCTAACCTTCCCACCAAGGAGAAGGATCCCCTCCCACCCCTATATCCCCATATTATGTTCTAGGTGTCAGTACCATGAGGACATGTTACACTGATCTTTTATCCTAATTAACTTACTGCCTCCCTGGTGTGGGGAGTGTTTGCCCTGCACCTGCACAGGGCCTGGCAGGCAGCAGATGTTGCTCGTGTTTGTTGAGTGACTATATCAATTGCAGTGTTGCTCACTGCAAACCTACTCTGGCTAACCTACGCCAGAAAGGAATGTTTCTGAAAGGGTGTGCAGTGGCTCACTGAATGAAATGAAACGCTGAAGAACCAAGCTCAGAAAGGGCAGGTGCACTGAGAGCCCCAGGGATTCAAGCCTCAGGACCCTCGTGTCAGGACTCTGCTGCCCGGGTGTGAACTTAGGCCCGGGAAGGAGAGGCAAGTTGGCCCAGGTTGTTCAGTATGCTGCCTCCTTGGCATCTTGAAAGAGCAAGTTCCCCGTATTGACGTAGCCACCATGGCTGTACCCAGTGGGGGAAATGTAACTCCCCAAGAGGAATCGTCCACAGAAGGCGAAAGGATGTGGGCGGTCTCCACACAGTTACTGTCCTCTACATTGACTCTTTTGTTTCCGGTGCAGATGCCTCCAGGATGTAGCTCTCCCACGGTGGGGCCACCTCCACTACCGCAGAAATCACTGGAAACCAGGTAGGAGGCCTGAGCATTTCCCTGGAGCCACTGTGCCCTCAGTCTCCTCCAGGGGCTCCTGACATGACAGGGACTGGCCATGTGTGGTGAGCATGGCCACCATGTCCTGAGCATACCTGCCCTTCCTTTGTCAGGGCCACGCTCCAGGCCCCGACAGTGGCCACAATGGGCCCAAACTGTGGAGCAATCATGAACCATGCCTACCTCCCCTGGCCACAGAGAGGCTTCCCTTCCCATGGGCTGAGGGTCTGGGTCATGGGCACTGAGAAAAGACCTGGCCAGGGTTTGGAGCCTCAGAGGAGAGGTGGCTGCAACTTGTCTGTGCCCTTCAGTGGCTCCTTGGAGCTGAAAGCATCTTGTGATGTGTGTCTGTCATTTCTATCAGCCCCTCTGGAAAGTCCTTTGTGCTCTCAGAGTGATTCTAGCCCTGTGACAATCCGGGCTCTCTAGGGAAGGCCATTTTTCCTACAGGGAAGTTGGTCCGTTTGTTTTGGGGAAGCTTCACATGGCAATGAGTTTATGATGGGCTGGCCTATGGGGTCACTTGGCTGCTACCTGTCTGGTTCCCTCTAAAATGAACCTATTTCTAGTTACCTATGTCAGCATTTTAGAACACATTTCTGAGTTGGGCCCCATGTAATGGAGACATGGAGGCTCCACCGCCAAAAGCAGGCTGTCTTTCAGCCAAGGTGTCTGAAGAAGATGGTCACAAGCATGACGGAACCTTCGCCAGAATGGTGCTGAGTCTCCAGAGCCTACACTCTCAGCTCCCCACTTTCCAGAGAGCCATTGTTCTCTAAAGCCTGAGCCTTTAGTTCTAGAGAAGAATAGTAGTGTCCAAGAGAGCAGTTGGCCAGTCAGTTTTGCAGAATAAGAAATTCGGTTTATGAGTTCACTCAGGAAGAAGTCAACACTGAGTACTCACACGGACCAGACTCACAAGAGACTAATGTAGCAGCATATGCTGATTTATTCATATAAACTGAACAATATCACTGCCAAGGAGACTTGTCACAAGGTAACCCTTGTAACCACTAGTGATATTGCCTCTTCTCTATCTAATTGGTACCCTTCTCTGCAAAATAGCCCTTGAGAAAGCAAATTCCTCTGAGCAGAGTAGTCAGGGCATACAGAGCTAGAGCAGAGGGTTGGAGGATCCTGGCAGGTGAGGCTTTGGAGCTGTGGCTGGCTGATGTGCTCATCTCCACTCTAAGATGGCACAGCTCCCTCCTCCCTGGGTTACTCTTAGACTCGCAGACAAGGCAATGTTGTCACATTTCCTATCTTTTCACTCTGCGGTGTCTTATAACTTTTATGACCACAAGAGTCAGCTCCCATTGATGCAATAGCGCTGAGGGTATTCTAACTTTTCAAGGAATGCCAACGACTTCTGACTTGGAATTAAGTGATACTTTCATGCCCTCACCAACACATTGTCAGACCAGGCTATCCCCTGAGATGGGCTGGTCTCGTCTCATGTACAATGGTTATGATCAGAGGGTGGTGGCTTTTTCCCGACCTTGACCCTAAGCCCACCTAACAGACTACTCGTTAAACATTTGGAATGGACTCTGCATGAATGATACAACATTTACCTCCTTCTCTAGTAACTGGTTTTTTGTTCACTTTCTTTTGTATTTTTCCAGGGCTCAGAAAAAGCTCTCCTGTAGTCTAGAAGACTTGAGAAGTGAATCTGTGGATAAGGTCAGCCCATGTCTATCCATAAAGACTCCTGAGTTACTTCTTTGTGCCCAGCACGGTGCTGGGATATACAGGCGAGGTCCTGGTCCCTACCTTGTAGAGGCTTTTATACAGTTGATGGGGAAGCAGGAATTACATGAACACTTTGAGAAAACCAGTCAGGTGCAGCCCAAGGCATCCCAGAGCAGGGCAAGTCAGGAAATGCTGCCTGGAGCTGGTGAGAGAAGATGGTGGGGTGGGCACAGGCAGGTTTGGGAAGCAGGAGGAGGTAAATTCAGAGCCAAAAGTCAGATCAAGCCTGAGAAGGTCTTTAATGCCAGCTCTATATCCCCAGAGCACTGGGGAGCATTGCAGAGATTTTGAATGAGGAAGAAATGTGGGTAAAGGAGATGATCCCAGGAGCGAGTTCTAGGATAATTTACAAGATTGGAGAGGAAGCCTTTTTAAGAGTCTAGAAAGATATGAGGAGGCCTTTGTGGCCACTAATGTGAGGGTAGCCCTTGACCATGTGGGTGACCCCCATGCTGGAGGGGAGGGTGGCAGGATCTTGAGTGAGGTCATTGGAGACCAAGGGGTCCTGCCCTGACAGAGCACCTTCACTGAGCCCTGCTGTATATGGTCTTTGGTCTCCAGTGGTGCACCAGCACTGGTGGTACAATGGAAGACCATAAAGGCTGGAGCCGGCAGAGCCACGGGCCCATTCAGTGGCTTTGCTCCCGTGGTCGTGTGCCTCTCACGCCCTGGGGCATCTGTACATGATGTGAGCTGTGTTTCCTCCATGGATGGTGATTACCTGACATAAAGATGGTGGGGGGGAGTTTGGGATGAACCTTCTGGATTTAAGCAGGCAGGTGATCCTGAGTTGTTGTTTGTGACTAACACAGGTCTCTTTTTCTCCACATAATTGAAATCCTTCTTGCCATTCCGTAGTGTGTCGATGGGAACCAACTCTCTCCAGTGGTAGAACCCAAGGTATATTATCTGCATGTCTCTGTCACGTATTTATGGTTGCATTGTTTGCTAGAGTGTTTTCATTTAGCAAGTCACAGCTTTTGTAACTTTGTAATATGTTAACTGTAGGGGGTAAGAGAGTGAGAGAAAAGACAAAACTTCCTCTCCCAATTTCTTTTTATGTGCACCCAGCTGTGTAATGTGCTTTCGCCTCCATTATCTGTGGGGTAGGATTTATTATTATCTCTTCCATTTTATAGGCTCAGAGAAATTCATCTTTAACAAGGCAGTGTGGATCTGATCGCTGGGAAAGGGGATGTTATGATCTCAGCACACAATTAGAGGTGCGGGACAGCTCTCATCCTTTCTGTGCTGCTATGTTATGGTTAAAAAACACAGGAGTGCACCAGCCACAGGTGCAAGAATCTTTCTGCAGCATCCCTAACGTTGGTGTCTGGCCCTTGCTTTCTGGGCCTGAGAGCTCAGTACATTGTAAGACACTCCCTGTATTCTTTTCCAGCTCTGTCTATTCGATACATCTTCTGGACTTCCCTAAGATGTGCATGATCCCAGCTCGCCCTCTGGAGCTCATGGAATAAGTCAATCTCCCCTGCTCCTGACAGCTCTAGAATTTAAGTCCCTCTAGCCCTCTCTAAGTTAAACATCCTCTTCTTGTGTGCACAGATCACGAACCTTTAAAGTTCCTATGCAGGCTCCTTAGGATCAGCACTGGTTTCTCAATGTCTTCTCTAATTTGTGCCCTGGACCACACTTGAGCATGGTATTCCAGATGGGGTCTGACCTGTGCCTTCCTTCATCTAGGGACTGCTCTTGTAGTCATTGCTGTCACTCCAGGCCCCGGGCACAGGATATCTTTTGTGCTTCTCTTTATGTGCTGTCCTCGCGTGCTAGGCCTGAGGCAGGAATTGTTGTTCCCTATTTAGAAACAATAAAACAGAGGTTCTGAGAGGCTAAAGAGAAGAAGCTTTGCTTGAGTCAGTCTGATGCGCAGAGCCTGTGCTCTTCCCACTCTGGTGTGCCGACTGTCTCTGCTAAGTTAGGGCAGCTGGGTCATCAGTTACACGCTGCTCCCTGGCTGGGATTTCCATTCCTCCATAACCAGGCTTATTCTTCTTGGGGAAGCAGAAGCAGAACTGGATTGGAGCATTTGTTTCCTCTGGGTCATATCCTGACAGTGCACGACCTTCTCCAGCAGTGAGTCCTTCCTTCCCAGCTTTTCTTCTGGGCTGAACAGAGCTGAGAGCCCTTTCCGCTGCCCTTGGTTCTTTCTGTGTTTTTTAATTTTATTTACTTATTTATTTTCCCCCAAAGCCCCAGTAGATAGTTGTACGTCATAGTTGCACATCCTTCTAGTTGCCGTATGTGGGACGCGGCCTCAGCATGGCCGGGGAAGCGGTGCGTCGGTGCACACCCAGGATCCGAACCCGGGCCGCCAGTAGCGGAGCGCGCGCACTTAACCGCTAAGCCACGGGGCCGGCCCTGTGTTTTTGTTCTATCTGTCTTACAGGTCTGGGCTGCCTTTTGAAGCCTGTCCTTGGGTTAGGTACTGCCTTCTTTACATCTCAGCTCCTCAGTGGGCTCCCAGAGCAGCCCACATCGGTGGCCTTGGTGGCCTCTGCCCTGTCTTAGGAGGACATGTGTGACGACACAACTGGAAATCTGTTTTTGAGAGCCCTCCTCTACTTCCGTGCTGCCTGTATAATGTGGAGCTTGGAGTCATGCCCTTCACTTCTCTAAACGTTTTGGATGCTGCCTTCCCTACAGCTCATGATTCTTGGTTCTGACTGAATCAGAGTAATCTGAAATGCTTGTTAAAAATATAGACTCCTGGGGTGTACTCCTGGGGGCGCTGATTCATGGGACCAGGTGGAACCTGGGAATTTATGTTGTTTTTATAAGTGTCCCAGCTGATTATGAAGCAGCCAGTGCAGGGACTAGCATTTGGAAATTGTTGGTCTAGACCACATGTCTGATAAAGTCCAATCTTGACCTCATGGGTCATCATGAACTTAAAAACTGTGTGGTCTCCATCTCTCAAGGCTCTGATTATTTCTCCTTCACCAGCCAGTTCTTTCAGAATTCCTTGAGAATTTAGTCTACTTTTCCCATGTCTCTCCTTTCTGAGCCTATTTACAGGGGGTTAGTATTCTGTGTTCAGTGAATGAATTGGATTTCAAACAATTTCTAGGATGTGTTTATAAGCAAACTGAATTCAGAAACTTATTGGGTACCTGGCTCTTGACTAAATGAAACTTCAAAAGATGTCTCAGTCACTGAAATCTCCCATTACTTTTCTGACTTGTCAGTTTTGAAATCGGTTTCGTCTATCATACTACTTTTCTTCTGGGTCCAATCAAGTGATCAGCAGCTGATTCCTTTGGTAATGTTGCTTCAATTTCTCTTTTATTTTCACTCAAATGCATTCCACTGGGTTTCCGTCAGGTTTGTGGGTTTAGGGGCCATTATATTCTTCTCGACCAAGTAAATGCAATTCTTCTTCCCCTTCACATGAGCTTCTTTCTTTGGGACCCTTTCCATGTCCAGAGTCTGAGCACAGGGCCCACTGCACTGGGCTGAACCTCATGCAGACAATGATCTTAAGTTCCTAAGGGACCTCTGTGTGGGCATGTAGCCCTCTGGCCTGTTTCCTGTTATCTCCCCGAAGTGTGTGCATACCTTCTTACTTTGCCTTAACCTGATATTTTTCAAAATAACTATCATCATAATACATGAATATAATTTATATATGGTATAATATTATATATTATAAACATGTAATAAAGCAATGGGTATAGTTTTTATTAGAATTCTGGTTTGTATGTTCAAAAAGCTCAAAGGGTAATTCACGGCTGTCAGCTCATGGATCCTCTGAGCACCAGGCCAAATGGCAAAGGCTTGCTTTGCAAGACGCCTCACTTCTGCTTAGAGTCAGTTGCAGTTGGCCCTGGATTTGGCCTTGACTCTGTCCCTGTGTTTTTGTGTGGCCTTGGGCAAGTTTCTTCCTTTCTCGGGACTCCGGTCCCCTTTCCTGGCCTGGGCTAAATGATCTTTGAGGAGTCTTTGAGTTGGCTTTGGTCAAAAATGGCTCTTGGAGAAGAGAGAGTGGTTCCTGAGATTTCCTATCTGGGCTTGAGCCTGAGACTGACAGCTAATTCAGCACCTCTCTTTCTTTTTCTCTCTCCTTCCAACAGGACAGTCCTTTCCTGCCAGGGCACAAATACCCCACATTACCTGGGAAACTTTCAGGAACCACGCCCAATGGAGAGGCTGCCAAATCTATTTCCACTGCCTCCCCGTCTGACCCTGCAGGGAGCAGCCTGCTGAGACTGGGTGAGTGTCCAGGCCCCTGGGCTGGCAACCCCGGAGCAACAGCCTTGGCACTTCCAATTATTGCACAAGATCCCTGCACCCACCACTGCAGCCCACAGTTGGAGAACGGTGGGGGTGGGTGGATGGGACAAGTCATACCTCAGGGTGTTCCCACTTCCAGAGACGATGGCTCTCTGTCTGGTGCACTGTTTGCTTCCATAAACACTTCAGAGCCCCAGAAAACCAGGGGGTGTGCCCACCCTGTTTCTTTCCAGCTGCCATTACTCCACCCCATTTGTCCCTCTTCTTTCATTCCTCCTCTCTTGATCCCTTCCTGGCCTTCCCATCATTCCTCTTTTCCCTCCTCTTCAACACCCCGTTCCCTGCGTCCTGTCCCTCCCTCTTCCCTTCTGTGTCCTGATCCTCTCTCTCCTGTCTCTGCCTTCCTCTCTGCAGCCTCCTTTTACCAGTAGGATGATATTATGTGCTCTTCCAAGGGAGAGCATTTCCTTAGAGAAATGGAGTCAGTGGCCCATGGGCAAGGATGTCAGTCCACAGGTATCCTTTTGGTGCTTAGGACCTGAAACCATGGAGGTCTTTGCTGCTTTTCCTGCATAATAAGCCATCTTTTCTCAATAGCAGCAGATCTGTGGGGCCCAGGAGGGAATGTTCTGGTCCTGGCAGAGATCTCCCTACACCTGACTCCTCATCCCTGGCTGTTCCCTGTGCCAGCCCAGGTGTTGGCTTCTGACTTTGGCCAGTTCTGCCTGTGGCTGGAGGAACTCTTAATAAGCTCTTGGATGAGTATGTCCTAGTGACACTCAGACTGTGCCCGTGCAGCAGCTTCAGATCATTCTAGTCTGATCTGAGTGAGCCCTGCACCCGCACAAGAGCTGCGTGTGGCCCGGTGCATCAGCCCCTGCTGCTCTCCCTCCCTCTCCGTGTGTGTGGATCCCTCAGCCTGCCAGGAAGTGGCACCAGGAGCATTTGGTCCCCTCACATGAGGCCTTGTCTCACTGCACTGACCCTGTAGGCCGAGCTCAGTCATCTTTCCCCTCATCTTTCCTCGTGGGATTTTTTTCTTTCTGTTTGAGTTTTTCTCTCTTGCTCGATGACTCTTTTGTTTATTTCTCTGCTTCCCTGTGACTCTGGTGGGCTGGACTTTGGCCTCTCTGGCTTCTTCATGTGGCTTCTCTGCTTCTTGGTTGGCTGGAGATCGTGGCCGGAGTGTCAGTGCCCCTGTATTAGGTACTGTACCCTTCCAGGTGAGGGCGAGAGTGAGAAAGCCCCTGTTTCCCTACCCTGACACCCTGCCCTCCCAAACACTCAGCCAGGTCCTCCTGCCTGCATGCCCGCGTCTCCCTGGGGAGAAGAGAGCAGGCTCCTTGTTGGAGTTACTTGCCAGTAGTTGGACCCCAAACCCTTGGAATTTGAAGACATTAGTTCACCCAGATTTGAAACCGTAAGCTCACTGATTCCTCAGAGATAGAACCTGGAATGTGCTTGAGCCCCTGCTGAGATCTTGATGTGAAGTTCTGCCCTGAAGGCAGAACTGGGCAGACTCTTCCCAACTTCCCCTGAAGGATTGCCCAGGTTTGGGGGACAAGAAAGAGGGCATGTCCCTTCCTCTCATTTACACATCTTTACACTCTTTCAATCTCAGGAGACACAGAAAGTGGTTGGGACGACACTGCTGTGACCAATGACCTCTCATCCACGTCATCCGGTACTGAGTCGAGCCCCCAGTCTCCCCTGACACCAGATGGTAAACGGAGCCCCAAAGGCATCAAGAAGTTCTGGGGAAAGTAAGTTGGTGGTGACGATTGTAATTATATTGCTGGAAATTAATATTCTTCTTGACTGGGCAAAGAGTCTACGTAAATCCCTATTCAATTAGATGTTGGGACAGCAGTAAAAACAGAGCAGTCATGTTTAGAGAGAAGAATTTGAGTTATTTTTTAGGGCCCAGGGAAGGAGAACCATGAAAGGCACCCGTTAAATATAGCCAGTTGCCTTACATGTCATTCATTCCAGGCATCCATCCCACCCGTCCCACACACCCTGAGCACATTCTCTGCAGCTCATAACACATGTGCTTTGTAAGAGACACATGGATGAGACCAATTTCTTTCTTCTTAGGGGTCAGTCTGTGTCTTAAGAAATCTTTGAAGATAGAAAGCTGAGTACTTGCTTGCCCAACTGACCCAGTCCATGAAATGAGGTGGAGACTGGGGCCTGCTACCAGGCATCAACCTTCACCTTGATCCCCACAGGGAGGAGCCCAAATCCCAGAGGCAGGATTAGAATTGAGGCTTGGGTCTGGCCGAGGGGCTGTCATAGGTCAGGATCCTTGACCTCTGGGGAGGCACTGGGAGGCGAGCCATCGAGAGTCCTGGGTCTCTCTGTGTAGGAGGGGGTGCACTGCCTCTGTGCTTTCAGACTTTCCCCTGACAGTCTCCATGGATCCCTCTCCATGCAGAATCCGAAGAACTCAGTCAGGAAATTTCAACACTGATGCACCAGGGATGGCAGAGTTTCGACGAGGTGGGCTCCGGGCAACCGCAGGGCCAAGACTCTCTAGGACCAGAGATTCCAAGGGTCAGAAAAGGTAAGGCTCCTTCCAGTCCATCTACAAAGAACTCGATGAAATCTTGGCCAGGGTGGACTGGGTAATAGAATCCAGAGATGGAAGGCAGGAGCCCCTAGTGCAGAGCTTCTCAACCTTTCCCATTTGACACAAGTAGATATCACTCATGCTTATAGGTACACTGAGGAGAAGGCAAGAGGCTCCCTACAGCGGAGGTGGCTGGGTGGGAGATGGGCCCTCTGGCCTCCCTGAGGACCTGAGCAGCTCTGCACATCTATATCATTCTCAGCAGTGCCTTTGCACGCTGGATTGAGAAGCTCTGGTGCAGCCATTAAGAATACAGATTCTGGAATCACAGACCTGTTCTCAAGGTCTCAACCACCTCCTAGCAGTGAGCCCTAAGCCAAGTTAAATAACCTCTCTATGCCTCAGTTTCCTCATTTGTGGTGTAGGGGGTCAAAAACAAGTATTTTATTAAAGTTCTTATGAGAATTACATGAACTACTGCACGTGTAACCCAAGCATCAGCTGTCTGCCACTCAAGGCTCCCCTTCCTCCAGTATATTTGGGAAAGAGCATCGTCTCTCACCCACATCTGCATCAGCACCCTCCTCCACACAGACCTCCGCAGAAGGTGTTGGTGGAGCAGGCCGCACCTTCCGTTACACCTCAGAATACATTGTACCAAACTCTCCTGAGGTGTGTTAACTGAAGAGGGTGCAAAGGGATGAAAATGGGAAATTTTGCATGACTGTCTCATCATGCCCTAATGAAAAAGGGTAAAAGAATTAAACTTTTCCAGAGACTGCCATGATGGGCAGCCTCCAGTTCCTAGCTTCACCCCCTTCCCTTAGATCTGCCTGTTCTGAGAAGAATGTCTCCCTTCAGACCTGCTCGAGGTGAATCTTTACTCCTGTGTTTGAGAGAATTTGCTTTCTGTGTCCTCTGCTCCCATCAGACAACCCCTACAGTACATCACCTCCAGCAGCATATCTCCTAAAGTCTGAGTTAGCCAAGATCAGGCTTCTGGGGGCCTTCATCAGGGTTGGATTGTGACATTTTAAATCTAAGAAACAGTGAAAAGTAAGGTTTAACTCTTAAATTTCATCCCCTTGAGACTGCCATACACCAGTGCCAAGTGCAGGTAATTACTGAGCAAAAGGTGCACAACTCAAATATTAATTCTCAGAAACAATATGGTCTAGATCCCAATGAAGGGAAAAGAGTGTGTCCGTGGTGCATCTATTGTCCACAGACCTGCAGCCACGGAAGGGAGCACACGGATGACACCCCCTTCCCCACGCTGCCACCCTCAGGTTTCTAGGCTTTGCCAGGCACTCCCATGTGCGCGCACGCGCACACACACACACACGCACGGCCTTTCCAGGTCCATCTGCGCTTTAGTGGGTACCCCCAGATCTATCCTCCAGGTGCCTTACAGAGAAACATGAGGCTATGTAGACCTCCTGTACCTGCACCTGCTCCCCCAGGGTCAAGGAGTTGGTGTTTATTCTCCTCATCACAAAGGAAAATGCTCAGTAAATTTTAGCTTTTAGAGGCAAGAGAATCTGATGACAAGGTCTGAGAAGGCAGAGACCAATTCAGAGCTGTTAGAAAGTGAGCCAAAGAAAGCTTATCTATATATACTATGATAGCAATATTCAAATTTACTTAGCAATTTTCAGAATTTCAACATTAATGTTTCTGATTTTTCTGAGATGAAAACATAAAGCTATAGTATGCTTGAATAATTAATTTTTGTTCTGATTCTGGCTGTTTCTTTAGGACTGATTCTTGAAGGAGAATCACTGGTCAGTATATAAGAACTTTTCTAAGACCCTTGAGCATTTTTTCTTAGAGCAGGACTGCACGGTTAGGGAGCCCCTTTACATTCTGCCAGTCATTCTGGTATGGGGTAACCAATGTCAGCAGCTTTCTCTGCCAGCCGAAAAACTGCAGTTCCAGCCACAGGGCTGCTTTGTTTAGATATCTTTGTGCTTTGTTAACCATGACAATGGGTGATAAAGGGAATGAGAATGAAGAAGTCCCGATGAGATTGTAATGTTTCTCATAACAGTGCTGTGGTAACAAAAATGAGTTTGCTGGTGTTAAAGAAAGACCTCTATTACTCTTAAGCAGAAATAATTATATGCTAATGTCCTCTGGTATTTATAGTTTATGGGTATTAAGGTATAGCCTTAAAAAAAATGTTGTCACCAATATTCCTATAGGGAGAGTACTTTGTTATGGAAAGTCTCCAGGCCCAATCCTCTTTTTTCCAATGAAACAGTTTTTTAAATATAACATTTAATAATGATATTTTGTAGGAACTCTCTCTCAGGTTATAGAAGAATGAATTTTATTGTCTTTTCCCCCCATGTAAGGTTTTACTGATTTATATTCCAGTCAGCACTGCTGTACAGTGAGTGCCTGTTATACCCACAACCTTGTTATTAGCATTGTCTTTATAGTTTTTCTTTGTTTAAACTTCCTCAGTTTTATTGACCTCCAAAAAATTACATTTTTATTGTTAATTTAGTTTACATGTTTGTCATGTTAGTTCCTCTTTTGTGAATTGTCTGTACTTTTGCCCATTTTTATTTAGTTGTTAATGTCTTTTATTTAGTTATTTAATGTCCTTCTTATAGGTTTCTATCTGTTCTCTATATATTAAGATACAAAGCCATGTATAATAATTGTGACAAGTTATTTTTTAGGTTGCAGAATTTTACTTTGATATATGGAATTTTTAGATTTATGTATAATGAGGTTCATCAACTTTTCCTTTGTAATTTCTTTCATTATTTTCTTTTACAATTTTTCAATGATTTTTTTTAAACTATGATTTTAAACTGTGAGTTTAAAAAAATGATGTTTTAAACTTTTAAAATCATATATTTTAGGATTTATTTTGGTATGTAGTGGGAGTTTTGTTTGTTTCAAGAAAAAGCAGTACAGTGGAATGTTTAAATCAGGCAGACAGTAAAGCCACCTGGCCGATCCCATCTCTGGGGAGGGTTTGTCTGAGTTGGTCTACTGAGTGTATTGCGCTTCGGGACTCTTGCTTTATGAGAGTCTCCAGTCAGACTGCTTCCCTGCCTCTGGCCCCATTTTATTGCCTTTCTCCTGTATTATGGTCAGTGTCAGCTTTATCTTGAATGTAAGGAAGCTTAAGCTGCAAGGTCCCTTACTTGCATGGGCCTTTCCAGGGTCTAGAGAGGATCCAATCAATGTGTTGACAAGGCATGTGTAAGGTATTTTAATACAACCAGTTTTAAGCCTGCTGACTCTTTACTCCAACTTTCCCTTGGTCTACACTTTCCCTTCTATCAGATGATGTTGGAGTAGCCAGGGCATTTTTGGGATCTGGCTAAGGGGGAAGTTGAGTTGGGGATCCATTTAGTTTGGGTGTAGTGGGGCATGTGTATGTGGTTTGCAGTCACTTCATGTTTAGTTAAGTTTAGTTAGGTTTAGTTAACGAGCTGTCCTATGTAAAAATGGCTTCCAGGATTACACCTACTTCTCAATGTGCCAATTTGCCCAGCATTGTGATACAAAAATGCAAAATCAGAGATCATGTACCACTATGAATGAGTCCCCTGGCACTTGGTATCAGAAGTATGGGGCAGTGGAAAAGCAACAACATTTGAAATGTACAAAACCAGAAGCTAGTCTTTGGAAATTCTTTCCAGTCTTCAGATCTGTAAAATCCTAAGGAAGAGATTTGGTTCTCTTGGATGCTTAGTCAAAACAAGAGTTTTCTCTTGTCAGAAATGTACTTACTAATGAAGTGTATACAATTACAAATGTGCCATATGTTCTCCCTCTACGACAGGAATGGCATATTTGTTTTTGTTTTTGTTTTTGTTTTATGAGGAAGATCAGCCCTGAGCTAACATCCATGCTAATCCTCCTCTTTTTGCTGAGGAAGACCGGCTCTGAGCTAACATCTATTGCCAATCCTTCTCCTTCCCTCCCCCCCCAAAGCCCCAGTAGATAGTTGTATGTCATAGTTGCACATCCTTCTAGTTGCTGCATGTGGGACGTGGCCTCAGCATGGCTGGAGAAGCAGTGCATCGGTGTGCGCCCGGGATCCGAACCCAGGCCGCCAGTAGCGGAGCGCGTGCACTCAACCGCTAAGCCACGGGGCCGACCCAGGAATGGCATAAAGCTCAGTTCCATCATTTTAACTGCAATTTGGAAAGATGTTTTAGAACACGTCAATAACAGAAACGGTTTAGCTGTATATGAAAGTACCTTCTCTGTCATTTCTAAATTACTTAATAATGTGTTCAGCCATGGCCCTGGCTGAGAATGTGGGAGACCCTGGCACTGAGACAACATGAGAGGTGGAGAAGCTGCGTCTGATGCTGCGGGAACAGCACAGGCTCAGGAGGGTGGAGACTGTGCACAAAGCAGGAGATACGAAGATACCGAAGATGAGCACCAGAGCTCTGGGATGTTTTGAAAAGGTCTACAGGACTGAGGTTTTCAAATGATGATCTCAAAAACACTTATTTCCCTTTCAGAACTGAAATATCCCTCTGATACAGAGGATATTTGTTTTTTCCCAATTTCCGGAAACCAGAAAATGAATGAAATAAAAAATTAATAGAATATGAAATAAAAGTGATAAAATGAGCATTGAAATTAAGAGAAATTATTCTGACATTAAGAAAAAATATATAAACAAAAAAAATTCCAGATCATACCAAAAGCAGTAATTCACTAAGAGCAAAAGATAAATTCCAAACAAAAATAATGAATAGATTCCTAGATTGTTGTCCTATAAAGGGTATCATATGAACACATTGGAAAAACATGAAAATTTCTTGCTCATTTTACATGATATACTGACATCAACAAAGATTACATAAAACTCATAATATGCAACAGCCACAAGGATATCAGATAAATATTGTTAGTTGAGAGAATATTTAAGATTAGCCACAGCACTAGAATACTTGAATGCTATATAATTTTACAGCCTACATCTAAAAGACACTTGATAGAGGTTTTCCTAAATTTGACGATTCTAAAAATACACTTGACAATACCAGTTATAAATTGTGAAGTGGAAACTTTTAAAAAAAACTATCATAATAAAAAATAAATATTGATCAATCAAGCTAGAAGAAAGACTGAATCAACCTCCTGTTCTCATAGAAAATATTATAGAGTTGTTGACATATGAAGAAGCAAAGAGTATGCACTCAAAATATGAAGGTAAAAAAGGACTAAAGAGGTATATCTAGGAGTTAACAAAAATATTTTTTTCTGGATTTCGTCATGTTTTTCAGTTTGATTAAATTTGTAATTTTTTGTGGTTTTTCTCATTCTAAGTAAATATTCACTTTGTTCCTAATTTTATATCCAAATTCTGTACTTTTCTTAGAGGGCCCTCCAAATTTTATAAGTTCCAGGTCTCACAAAACCTGGATCTGCATCTATTCATGGCTCATTAAAACTCAGGATCTAGGCTACAAGTGACCAGCGCCTACTCCAGGGGACACGTCATCTCCAGCACCTGTACTAAGGGTGCTTTCTTGTTATTCTGGCCCTTTAAGGAATTTCCTCTCTTTAAGAACAACTCAACCGAGCATTCAAAAAAATTTTTTTTTTTTTTAATTTTTTAAATTTATTTATTTATTTTCCCCCCAAAGCCCCAGTAGATAGTTGTGTGTCATAGTTGCACATCCTTCTAGTTGCTGCATGTGGGACGAGGCCTCAGCATGGCCAGAGAAGCGGTGCGTCAGTGCGCACCCTGGATCCGAACCCGGGCTGCTAGCAGCGGAGCGCAAGCACTTAACCGCTAAGCCATGGGGCCAGCCCCTCAAAAAAATTCTTTTTTAACTAGCATAATAGGGGTACTTTCCTAGAAGGAATCTTTTGGAACATCTAGTCTTCTATATTCCATAAATCCCCATTTATTTAGAAAAATGAATATAAAGTTGCTTTGTCCATCTCCCCACCCTCCCCCAAAAAAGACTCTCTGGGGATTTTAAGTGTGCCATTATATTCACCCTTCATATGAAAAATTGATGTCTATAAGAATTGATGGCTTTGTAATACCCAGCCATCCTGTCTAGGAACGTGATCCAGCTCTTCATTTATTCATGTCATTTTTTATGTCGCTCAGTTGAGAGTTATAGTTACCACATCCCCCCTACCCCCACACACAGTTACACAGGACCCACACAGTCCTTATAAAGGCAGCTCCTAGACAGTTTATAATTTTGGTTGCCATGAGTGGGATTTTTAAATTATTTTAACAAAAGTTAGTATCTGTGCATTGATGGTATATAGAAAGTTGTTGATTTGTGTATGTCATAAATATTACACATATGTATATTTTATAACTAGACACCTTACTGAGTTCTCTAGGTGGGTAGTCATATTATCTGAAAAGAATGGCTTCCTTTCATTTCTACCTTTCTAATAGGTATACTTCTTTTATTTCATCTCTTCTTATAATGACTGCAATTCTCAGACCAGTGGTATTAGTACTGATAAAAAATATTGTCTTTTTATTGACTTTAATATGAATGGCGCTAGTGTTTCATTAATAAATAAGGTATTAGCTGATGTTAATTGGAGGTTTTATTTTTTTTTTATTTATTTTATTTTATTTTTTTAAAACACTCTGTTATTTTATTTTTTATTTATTTATTTATTTTTTCCCCCAAAGCCCCAGTAGATAGTTGTATGTCATAGCTGCACATCCTTCTAGTTGCTGCATGTGGGACGCGGCCTCAGCACGGCCGGAGAAGCAGTGCGTCGGTGCGCGCCCGGGATCCGAACCCGGGCCGCCAGCAGCGGAGCGTGCGTGCTTAACCGCTAAGCCACGGGGCCGGCCCCAATTTTTTTTTTTTAAAATGTTAGAGAACTTACCCATTTTCCTAGTTTTCTAAGTGTTTTCCTGCAAATGGTGTTGAACCCTGTTGAAAATAAATTCAGTTGTGAGTCTTTATCCTGATGGGCCACGACTCTGGGCTTGTGGCACGTGTGCACGTGCACGTGGACAGACAGCACATGTAAACACAGCCTCACGAGGATCACAGAACTGCCCCATGCTCTCAGCAGCTGCAGATGAGAAATTCAGACCAGGTGTTATCACAGGAAACTCCAGAGTCTGCCTCAAATGAGTGTGTGGTAGTAGAATTTTGTTCAACTATATCCCACGATGGGGGCTGTTTGTTAAAACATAGTTCCCTTTTTTGTGAGGCTCTGTTACGTTCAGATGGAGCCTCAGGCCCCATCACTAACAGAGACATGCTGTTCTTCTGCTTCCCAGTGACGCCAATGCCCCCTTTGCCCAGTGGAGCACAGAGCGTGTGTGTACGTGGCTGGAGGACTTTGGCCTGGGTCAGTACGTGATCTTTGCCAGGCAGTGGGTGACTTCTGGCCACACTTTACTGACAGCTACTCCTCAGGATATGGAAAAGGTAAGGGCTGAGCCCTGGGCGAGAAGACTCCCATTTCTCCTCAAACCGATACCTGGGGAGGTGAGGCCCTCTACTCCTCCACGCCCACAACATACACACCCACACGCAGGAGGGTGGACAGAGGAGGCCGAGATTCCCTCTGTCACTGCAAGTTGATCCCTGGGCACTGTGCAGAGATCCCCCGCCACACTCCATCCAGGTGGAATATCCACCCAGACACAGCATCCTGTGGGGGCTGAACTGCCTGCCAAAATTGCACATCTCTCTTCGTCTTTCAATTTCAGGAGCTGGGAATTAAGCACCCTCTTCACAGGAAGAAGCTGGTTTTAGCAGTGAAAGCCATCAACACCAAGCAGGAGGAGAAGTCTGCTCTGCTAGACCACATTTGGGTGACACGTAAGGACAGAGATGTTTATTATGTTTCTGGCAGCTCCTCAGTGTGGACAGCGTTTCCCTGTGAATGTGGACCTCAAAGACAGCTGTCTTCTTGGGAAAGGCAGATGGATTACTAAACCTTATGGGGAATACCACTGGAGCTTCAAAATGATAATATGATTCTTTTTTTTTTTTTTTTGGCATCCGCATTCTCCCATTCTCATGAATCCTAACACACTTGTTTCTTCCTGTTTTTGTAGGTTGGCTTGATGATATTGGCTTACCCCAGTACAAAGATCAATTTCATGAATCCAGAGTTGATGGGCGAATGCTGCAATACCTAACTGTGGTGAGGAGTTCTGCTTTCAATATTTAGTTGTCCTTGTGAACACTCAGCTCAGGTGTCCCTATAATGGTTAAACTCGATTCCACCGTCTCCTCATATTTTTAAGGTCTTAAAATAGTGTTGTTTGTCACGTAAGAGGTCTCGAGTAGCAGAGTATGAACCATTGTGCTAAGAAAAGCTGTTGGCACCTCCATGTGCACCTTTCTGAGATGTGGTAGACTTGTCTATGTTTGGTCTGGGAAGGATCCCTCAGGTATCTGTTGTCATTTTGGAAACTCAGGTTCATTAACCAAAACTTCCCTCTTCCAGAATGATCTACTCTTCTTAAAAGTCACCAGCCAACTACATCATCTCAGCATCAAATGTGCCATTCATGTGCTGCATGTCAACAAGTTCAACCCCCACTGCCTGCACCGGCGGCCAGCTGATGAGGTGAGGGCAGGACAGTACTACCTATCCAGGTAGCCCTGAGCCAGGACACCTGTGAGATTCGGTGTGAGAAAACAAGAATGACATCATCATGAAATGGCTGCATTTCAGACCACAGTGCTTGGGATGCTTTCCTTTGCTAGTGCTTCATGGGGCCCCAAACACCCCTGTGGCCTGTACTTCGTATCCCACAACAGCCACTAGACCTCCAAGCTCCTACCTTCCTTGGGAGACATATGCTAGGGTTCAGACAGCAGTAGCAGCAAGTCTTTCAAAGCCATCATAATGATTAAAAGGAAATGAGGAAATGGTGCAAAGGAGTGGGGGGTGGGGGGAGACGAAACAGAAAGATGAGTGTCAAAGTAGGCAGAGAAGAGGAGAGGAGGAGCCCATGAGGAGTCAGACATTTCGGAGTAGATCTCCCCACTGGTAGATATAAAATTAACCAACCTCGAGTCCCAGGTGCACAGGGATCCATGAGCAGGTTTTGCTAGAAAAAAAAGTAGTGTAGGTAAACATAGTAGCAACCCAAATCCTGGAGAATCCTTGATAATGTTCCATGAACTCTGGAGTTCTTGGTGGGCCCTCAAGCTAAAGGGTTGTCAATCACACCCCATCTCCTATATTCCTGGGAACTAAGTCTAACCCTGCTGTAAGATTAACTTAGCTTCCTGAGGAATTAATATCTCCTACCTCTACTCTCCATCTCCTGTTTTTTCCCTATTCAACAAATGTATTTTGAATGCCATATAGAATATGTCAGGCACAGTGCTGGGCAGTTTCAAGACCCAGATACCACTTGAAGGCATCTAGGCACAAGGATCTTAATGTATACTCTCCTAAAATATTTGGCCACACCAGGGAGATCTTTTGTCTATAAAACACTCAGCTCATAATTGATAGTCCTCTTTAAAGTTCTGTTGAATCACTAAATAAATGACTATATGGCTTTAGGGACTATTAGTTCCAAAGTTAACCAGAGAATTAGGGAGTAACAGGATTCTGGAATCAGATATCTCAGTGTAGAGGATCCTGCAAGATTCACTGGAGAGCTCTTTTCCTTGGAAACTGGGAAGGCTCTCAGACAGCTGGTCTGGCTGCCTGGGTCACTAGGTGTGACGGTCATCTTCTGGTGAGGCATCACCAGAAGGTGAGGCTTATTCACAGGGGCTGGCTCCACAGAGGACCATGGTAGGGCCTATTAGACCTAACTTCTTCACTCTCCTTCTCCCTCTCACAGAGTAACCTTTCTCCTTCAGAAGTTGTGCAGTGGTCCAACCACAGGGTGATGGAGTGGTTGCGATCTGTGGACCTGGCGGAGTATGCGCCCAACCTTCGTGGGAGTGGCGTCCATGGAGGTCTCATTGTGAGTAGCTCTTGGGACTAGCCTATCTGCCTTGGTGCAAACTGATGTCTTAACGGCTAGACATAAATCCTAGAAAAAACAGATATTTCATCTAAAACCCTTGCATAAATTGAAGTCTCAAAGCATTTTGATAATTTGTGGTTAAGAATTAACATACCTCATGGAAACAAGATGGCTTCTGGAAGGACTTCCCTAGCAGCAGACCCAGAGGATTCCAGGACAAAGGGGTCACGTGAGAATCTGCCCTTAACCAGGCAGCTCTGCCTGCTGCCAGAGGAACACGGGTGCTGGGGAAGTATTGGGGGGAGGCCACCAAAATGTGACTTCCTGCTTGTTATGATACGATCTGTATTCACTCAGATCTGTCAAGTGGCAAAGTCAGCAGGGAAATGAGGAAGGGGTGGTTTGAGTGTTGTCCAGAGTGGACTTTGGGAGACAGCCTTGTCCACAAGGTCACAGTTCTCTGCTGGTCTGTGAAAACGAGGTAGTCCGTCAATAAATGTGCACTATAGTGCACCCAGAGCCACACCCTGTGCCACGTAGAGAGGGGAGTGGGACACAGGACAAGTGGATGAGCTTTAGCCACTGCCCTGGAGGGACGCCCGGGCCCACGGGAGCCCATTTCTCAGTGTCACTACCTGGAGCTATCTGAGCTCACCACTGAGTGGCTTTGTCTGTGGTGTCTTCTTAGATCCTGGAGCCACGCTTCACTGGGGACACCCTGGCTATGCTCCTCAATATCCCACCACAAAAGACGCTCCTCAGGCGCCACCTAACCACCAAATTCAATGCCCTGATTGGTCCTGAGGCTGAACAGGAAAAGCGCGAGAAAATGACCTCCCCAGCTTACACACCACTGACCACCACAGCCAAAGTCCGGGTGAGTTGCCACACCCTTTCTGGGGTGGTCACAGAGTCGTCCCTTCGGGCCCTCATGTTGTACAGCAGCTGACCCAATGCCTGGACACAAACCAGTGTGCTGCCTGGGTGAGGAAGCTCTCTCAGCTTCTGCCCTGGGAGATTGGTCTCATTGTCTGTCAGTCTTTGTGAGGCCAGTTCCCTGCCACTCTTGAGTCCAAGAGAGTGCAGGTTTCTTTACAGAGAAACTGTGCAGGAAGCATCTGTTCTCAGGCAGCTAGGAGCCTGTCCTCTACCCCAACATTGCCTTGACTCATCTCGCAAAGCACATGAGTTCCTGAGTCTGCTTCCCCTCAGTCAGGCCCATCTGCCTGCCACAGTGCCCTGGGGGATCTTCATCAAAGTCGTCCTGCCAACGCAGAGAGTGCTCCTCTTGCCAGCTGGCCTTGGTAGCCTTGTGCTGTCCACAGGTCCTGAGGTCATCCAAGCACCAGCACCACTCACTGGGCTCTCTGAATCCCACAAGGCCTGTTCAACTTGCCTGAGCCACACCGTCCTCAGACCATGTCCTTCCCAGACTGCAGGCCACCGACTAAATCTCTGGAGGCCAGGCCAGCCCTGTCCCCAGCAGCATGGTGATACCTCAGGTCCAGCTACAATGCACACACAGACCTCCCCAGGGGAGCAGGACAGGAAGTGTGTCTGGGGGAGACAAGCAGAAACAGTGCTGGGTGAAGCTAGAGCAAGGAGGAAGGGCCACCTAGGGCTGTCCAGTGTGGCTTCCTGAGGGCACGAGGTGCTGTGAGTGGAAGGAAAGGCGTGCTCCCCCGTGTGGTGCCAGCAGCTGTGGTGAGGCAAGTCTTCTACTGCGGCATCCTCTAGGAATTCCCAGCTCCCTTGGGGAAATAGGAACATCACCAGTGAGACAGCAGGACGTGAATTTCAGGCACAGAGTCTTGGAGGAGAAGCTTTCCTTGTTCAAGATTATTTATCTGTTGGTCTTTCCCCAGCATAGAAATTGCTTCCAGCACCTCTATTTTGTTAAGAGGTTTTCTAGAAGCCGTTTGCCTTATTCCTTTCCTCATGTGCCTGCTCTTAAATGTATTGTCAGTCTTCTCTACACACTGGCTTGATAATCTCCTTCTCATAATCTTGCATTTGCTGTGTTTTAGCCAAGGAAACTAGGATTTTCACATTTTGGAAACATAAGAAAAAAGAAGTTTGATGAATCGACGGACTACATTTGCCCGATGGAGCCCGGTGACAGTACTGGTGACAGTCACAGGGTCTACAGTGGCTACCGGGGCCTCAGCCCCCTCGATGCCCCTGAACTGGATGGGCTGGACCAGGTGGGACAGATTAGCTGATGCCCTTGTCACGCGTCCTCTCTGTGCACCCAGAGAGCTCACAGTAACACCACGTGTGTCACCATGTAACTGCACCTCACCCCCTGCACAAGTGCATGCCTCACAGAGAACATTCCAGCAATTGTGTACCCCTGGGCCGGTCTCTCTTTGAACCCTGCGGGTGGCCAGTTGCACCTTTGCTAAGGGGCCAGGCTTTGGGGACTGTTGCCAAAGATGGACTCGGGAGGAAAGACACTGAAAGATGTGTGTACATTTTAGTAATTCTTCATGTCCATCTTCAGCACCAGTGGAAACACACAGACTTGGACACAGGTCCAGAGACCATGGATGGTCCCAAGAGGCTCAGCTCTCAGGCCCCTCTGCTGTGTTTCAGTTGAGGGACAATCTCAAGTGCCTTAGACCTGTGGCCACAGAGTCTTGGCTGAGATCCAAGGGACAGCAGCAGGGATTTCTGTCACAGTGACAATGTACCTGTCATGTGCCTACTACAGAAGCGGTCACTTCTTTCTGGTAATAAAAACATATTTATCTAGAAAGCAAACAGTGCAGCCTATCTTTAATCTTATTGGGGAAGAGAGCTGGGCACAGCTGGAGAGGAGTCCTGCTCACTGCGTAGCTTGAGAGCCGACAACACTGAGCCGGGTGCACACTCGGGATTTGCCAAGTGTCGTGGACAAGGGTTTGGAGCAATGAGGGACCTCCGTGTCCTTCAGAGGAGGTCTGTGGCCTCACCGCATCAGGCTCCAACTCCCACTGTGAAGCTGAGGGGAACCAGTGTCTCACGCACATCCTGACTGGGTAACATCTGCGGTGCAGACCCCAAAGTTGGCTTCCATTTCAGCGGCATGAGCCATGTGGTGAAGGGGGTGGTGGGAGACAAGAAGGCAGCCTTGCTGGAAAGACCTGTGCTTCCATGCGTTTTGCCAGCTTCTCTGTTACTGACCTAGCTGGCCCATAACCGTCGTGGGGCTTGGTCTGTCTATGTTGGCAGCGCTGGAACAGACCTGTCCTCCTGCTTTAGAGGCTGACTAACTGACAATGGGTCTTCCAGATGGGCCCTGTCTGGCCAAGGAGGGAGAGAGAGAGACACCTTGCCAGTCTGGGCTACTGCTCATGAGATTCCTGCTTGTCCCAGGGCAGCTTTTGGCTCCACTGGGTCCTCTCAGGCCTCATCTGCAGAAGCGTAACAGCAGCATCATAACTGATGGCTGGGGCAGGGCCTGATGACCCCATTGAGGGCTCTCTGATTCTGTCACAGATGGAGGCCATGCTAAGATTTGCATCTTAAACTACCAGCAGCCTCATACACGGCCTGTAACCTCAGGCCACGGCCTCCTAGCCTCCCTTGAAGTCCAGCAGTGAGAGATGTGGACACAAGCTGGCCGGTGTTTGATCCCAGTACCCAGGGCCATACATGACAGGTGCTCCTCGAGGCTGACACCTGGGCATTGTTGTTGTAGAGCCACTGTCAGGGCAGGCTTTGTCCCTTATTTCTTATGGTGCCCTGGGGAGAGAATCTCTGCATGCACCTGTTTCCAACTCTGCATGGAATTTTGTCACTAATTCTCTGTGCCATCTCAAGCAAGGCCTGTAGTCCTTTATGGGCATCAATTTTCCCACCTGTAAAGGAATGGTTATACTTGATGCCCTCAGAGGATGCTTCCAAATCTAAACCATCTAAACAGGTTTAGGGAAGGAGGAGCGGGCCAGCACTACCTGAGGAGGAGGGGAGGCGGGGAGGTTCCTGGTAGTGAGGAAGCTCCATCAGCAGCTCCCTAAGGATGCCCACCTATACCAGGGTATCAGGGTCTGGAGTTTTGTTGGTGCCAAAAATTGTCAGTGGATTCGCATCCGGAAGGCCCTCATCCCTTCCTCTCTGCTCCTGGTGTAGCTGGAGCATTAACATGTGCTAAAGGGCTGTTTCTGACAGGCCGTGTTTGTGCCCTGCCCGTGTATCCTTAGTGTTGGTGCTGGGGTGGGGCCCACGGAGTGCATGTGCGTGGCGGTGTGGGATACTGGAAGCTGTTTTTCCCTTGGGGCAGAAGCAGCATGTGCTTTGCCTGTCACTCTTCAGGGCCTGGCCCACTCCTTGCCCGCTCCCCCAGGGAAGCATGCCTGAGCAGGACCAGACTTGCATGCCATCTCTGCAAATCGTGAGCTGAGTCCATGTCTGCTGACCAGGCTGCTGCCCATTTTGCAGATGGCTCCTTCAGAAGGCACTGTGACGCAGATAGGGCTCCTCTCCCAAGACATTCACCGCCTCACGGTAGGACTCTGACCCTCTCTCCACAGTAGGACAGGTGCCAGGGAAGCCCCCTGAGTTGGGTGTGGTAGTGCACCAGGCCTGGGGCAGCCCCCGCCCCTACTCCAGAGCCTGTGTCATCAGTACCCCTGCTGGGGTAGAGCAAAGGATGATGCTGGGTGCTGGGGCCAGACCTGAGCCAGCCCCAAGGTAGAAAGCAGCCCAGAGGCCTTCTCTGTTGGCCTGCTGTTGGGCTTTAAGCTGCTAAGGGCATTGGGGGGGGTCATGGGCCTTGAGCTGAAGCCAGCTAACGTGTGCTAGGTCTCAGGTCCTCTTCCCAGGCTTGGAGCTGGTGAGAAAACCAAGATGCCCAGCAGCGCTGGCCACCTGCCTAGTCATCTCTGGCCTAGTGGACACCGTTCTGCCCTCTCTGTCCATGAGACACACGTATTTCCTATTACGCCTCTGACTCTGTGGATATCACAGGCATGCAAGCACATCCTGGCGTGCCCAATGAGGACAGACTGTACCGTGGGGAGGCAGCTTGGTCTCAGGGAGAGGAGGCACTCTGGAGTGAGGCCAACCTGGTTCAAGCCCCTGCTCTGGGATCTCGGGCAAGTCGTTTTCTCTCCGAGCCCTGGCATAGTTATCTATAAAACAGGGCTAATAATATCCTCCTTGCAAGGCTCGTAGGCAGACTAGAGCTGACAGTAAAAGGCCAGTCACAAAGAGGGCTCACATTTTTGAGGCCCTGTACCTTCCAGGGCTGTTAGTTCTGGACTGCCCCATCACTGAGCCCACTGGCTCTAGCAACTGTCCCTATTGAGTCCCCTGTCAGTGTCCTTTGCTGATCGATGGAGGCATGTTAAGAAGGCTGTATCCAAGGGCAGGACGGGGGGGGCGTCTCCCTGAATCTAAATGGGATCACTTTTATTCAACTTTCTTTTCTTGGCTCACACACTGAAATGAGTGCACCCAGCCTTGCCCTTATCACCTCTAATAGGCCTTTGGTGGCCTTGAAATAGCAACTTTACCTCTAAGCTATGAGCAATTTATTCTTATCTTGATAGTGTCTATTCTGAGCCAATACGCGGGGTCCCTGGGACACCATGAACTTACAGGGCGCTGATGTCAGACGGGACCACACCCAGTGCCCCGCTGCTTCCCACGCGGCTGCCGCATGGCAGCCTTGACCAAAACCCTATTCAACTGCCCCTTGGGCTGTCCTTTCAGACCATGCTGAGCCAGGACCAGCTGCTGAATGACTCTTGCCTGGTTGCTCCCAACTCTGAGGACTGGAGATGACTTTCTTCATGGCCGAGAGCCCAGACAGGCACGTGTGGGGGCCTTTACTTCAATGGGGAGCTGGCACACAGCCACCTGCGGAGCCCAGGCTGTGGCTGGCAGGGCATCTGGGACGTGGGTGCTGACAGGAGTGAAGCCGGGCTGTGGAACAGACGTCCAGAGGAGGCCCCAGTGTCCCTATGTGTTTTCAGCTGTGCTGTGCTCTTCACCACAGTACCTTTTGTACGTTCATACGTGGACTGCAGACCACTCTTATGGGGAGGGCAATGAGATGTCAGCACAGACTCAATGCTCGTGCTGTTCCTGGTGACAGCTGCGAGGCTCTTAACACCAAAGGGAAAGGGCTGTTAGTTCATAGAAACTCGGCTGGAAAAAGGGTCTGAGAAAATGTTCTGAATGTTCTGTAGTGACTGAGCTGGGTGAAATGACACCAGGGAGCCCCTCCTGGGCTGCTTCCATGCAGAAGCGTGGATTTCCGAAGTTCACCAGGAACGTGGCTGGGGTGAGGGTATTTAGGGTGAGGGCAGGGAAGGAGCAATGAGACTCCTTTCACTGTCCTGGCTGCCCTCAGTCTACCCTCGTCTACAAAAGGTGTCTCAGGTTCTTCAGTGCTGTGGGCCTCCAGCGTCTGAGCAGAGGTGTCTCCAGCACACACACACTCAAGGCCCTCGCCCTCCACCCTAGCTAACACACGGAGCACGCACAGTCGGCAAAGCCATCCCTACATCAGCCTCAGATGATCAAACAGCTCCCCCCAGTGGAAGGCCCTTGGGCAACCCAAATCAATATTTCCACTGTAACTCACCATCTTCCAGGAAGCCTGGTACCGCTCGGGTGTCTCCTACCTCAGGGAGAGTCGCCCGGCCACACAGTCCCCTCTCAACCAGTCTTCCCCCTAGTGACCAGCCCCTACCTCTTCCTCCCTGTGAAGGCTCTAGCCCAGGCCTCGTCTCTCATCTGATGTCCACAGCTGGTCCCCTCCAGACATTCTCCACCCCATCCCAAAGCACTGTTGTAAACCTGTTAGTTTTCTGCTAAGAACTCCTCAGTTCCAGAATGACCACAGGCACCCGAGGCTCTTGTGACTTTTCAGCCTTCGTGAACCTGCGCTCCAGCCTGTGCTCCTGTTTTTTCCTCACTGTGAGATGTATTCTCCTCCTCATCCCTGTCACAAGGCCAGGTCCTGCCTGCTGAGGCCCAGAACAGACAGACACAGCCTCTCAGGAAGCCTTCACTGGTGTTTCGGTTGCGGGTCTGTGTCCCACAGTGCTGTCTGTGCTTGAGCCCGAGCACTTCCCAGCTCACCTCGAAGTAATGTGTCGTCTGTCTCCTTACCATGTGCACCTTCAATGCACACTCACCGAGCACCTGCCACGGGCAGGCTCTTGTACAGACAGGAGTAAGACCCGATACTGGTCCTCAAGTTCTTCAGGAGACCCATGCTGCTAAGTTCCTATCCACTCACTCCTTCAAATGTGCAGGTTAAGTACCTTCCAGGCTGGGCTAAGGAGGGCTAGAGATACAGGCACAATGCCAAGGTACACAGGTGCTGCTGGTCTAGTGGGGGAGCACAGGCTGTTTCAGATAAGAGTGTGCTGAATGTTACAGATGCTCCAGTAGAAGTCTCCACAGCCCAAAAGAGAAAGTTGTCATTTTTTTTTTCTTTTTGGAGAGGAAGATTGTCTCTGAGCTAACATCTGTGCCCATCTTCCTCTATTTTGTATGTGGGATGCCACCACAGCATGGCTTGATGCGCGGTGTGTCGGTCCTTGCCTGGGATTCAAACCTGCGAACCCCAGGCCACCGAAGCAGAGCGTGCGAACTTAACAGCTACAGCACTGAGCCGGCCCCAAGTTGTTATTCTTAATGCAGGGCTAGGGGCAGGGACTGAAAAGGCTCCAAGGAAGGGCTGATACTTGAATTTTGAAAGATGAATCAGGTTCCCCAAGGGGAAAGGCACTCCAGCAGACAGACCGGAGACACTCCAGCACATCCTAAGAAGTGCCCAAAGTGGATGTGACTAGAGCAGAGTTTCTCAACCTCAGCACTGTAGTCATTAGGGGCTGGATAATTTGTGGTGTTGGGGGCTGTCCATGGGCTGTAGGACTTTTAGCAGCATCCTTGGCCTCTCCCTCTAGAAGCCAATAGCGCCCTTCCTCTAGTTGTGACAACCAAAACTGTCTCCAGATTTTGCCAAATGTTCCCTGGGGGGTAAAATCGCCTTGAGTTGGGAACCATGGGGCCTGAGAATAGAGTCAAGAGTGGGAGGCCCAGGGAAAGAAAAATCTGGTGAGGTCAGCTGGAGCCAGATCAAGAAGGGCCTCGTAAGCCAGGCCCCTGGAATTTATCCTGGAGACACGGGTCGTTGGTCTGGGGACTAGGGTGAAAAGCAGTGAGAGGGGACAAGCATGGTAAGATTTGTGTTTACGAAAAATATCTGAGGGGAGGATCTTACTCGTTGTGCAGTGCCCAGCAGAGCATCTCTCTCCAAGTAGGGGATTCACTGAGGATGTGCTCACCAGAGGATGGAGGGAGGCTAGCCGCCTCCCAGCACCCCCACTACACTGGCCTTCTCTGAGACCATCCCTGTGTCTGGCACCCTGTGGGTACTATATGACTGTACTTCAGAGAGTTCTCTAGAGCCATGTTCCTCTCTCTCTTCTGTACCCACACCCTGCCCTCCCCAGACATATCCGTGTTAAAAAATCCAAGCTATGCTGCTACTGTGCCAGTTTTTGTGAAAAGGGAATGACTTGGAATTAAACAGACTCAGTTTTGAAGCCCAGCTCTGCCATCTACTAGCTGAATGATGTGGGGACAATAACTTCATCTCTGACCCTCAGTCTCCTCATCTATAACTTGGAGAACAAAATCCCCACAGAATCTCTGGCTTCTCATGAGAATTATATGAAATAAACTGCAAAAGTGCCAAAGCGGTTCTGTTACCTGTTACTCACAGGTGACACAGAGCAGCAGCACGTCATCCCGGCCAAGAACAGCAGAGGCGACAGTGGGCACCTGTATCCTTTGGGTTCAGCAGTATGAAGGATTTAAGGAATAGCTTCTGGGACCTAATTCTGTTTGCAAGTTCAGAAGCTTCTGTACGTATCCACCCCTATCCTGCCACACCAGAATGGGGCCTGGCATTTAGAGGATGCTAAAAAAAGAAAGGTACCTGTTGCCTCCATTTGTTGTGCAAGGCGCAGGGCGTCTAGGAGTCTTGAAGCCCACCCACCCTATGGATTTACAACTGCCCCAATGTGTGTGTTTTCAACACCATTCCCATTTCAAGGGCCTCCCACAAGAGAAGGAAGAGTGTACATGGAGGGTACCTAAGCCCTCTAGCAGGTCTCACCTTAAAGACAGAACACTCTGGAAAGGGGGGTTCAAGAGAGACTATTGGGAGTTGATGTGACCCCACTTGGATTCTTCTGGAATTCTGCCCTGGCACTTTTGCACTTCTGACCTCCCATGGACACACAGAAGCCAATTCACATGTAGGTCAGGCCAGGCCTTCTGACTGCCTCGTCGGTCCCCCACAGAGCCACACCTCATGGGCTGACTGCTTTGTACTGAAGTTTATTTCACTAAACTATGGAAAAAGATACTGAAATGGAGTTCCTTCAAGCCTCTCAAGCAAGGAGATGTCAGAATCCACTTTCTCTCCAGCCCCTTGAGCCCTTCTTCTTAGGTCCTCACCCAAAAGAAACAAGCGCCAGCGTGCCCACCGGTGCACCACGGGGCACTTTTGAACGCATCCCAGTTTAACATGCTGAAACTGAACTCACTTTGAAACAGAGGAAAGGGACCAGGGAAGTTTGCTAAGAGCGAGGGAGGTGTTAGTAGGTGAAAATCTCGTCCTTGGTATAACCCAGTTGCTCCAGGTTAGGGTGAGCGGCTGTCTGGATCAGGCCTGGAGGGCCACACACCAGGATGAACGTGGACTTCCCAGGAGGCGGGAGGTGCTCCTTGATCATGTCAGCAGTAATGAAGCCTGAGCTGTACATCCAGCCTGAGATTCAGCAGAAGCAGAAGAAGCTGCGGGGGTGCCAGGTCGAGTTCCTGACCCCAGGCCTCCTGTCCTCCCTCCCTCAAGCCAGGGAGAGGGAGGCAAGGCTGCTCTCCGCGGCTTAGAAGTCAGCACCACTGTTGCCTCAGAAACCTGGGAAGTGGAGGGCGTGGGGAGCCCAGGCAGCCCTTTCAGTGTTTTCCTCAGATCCGAGGCTCACTGCTGGTGTCTGCCTGCAGTAAGCACTGGCGAGGACAGGGAGCACGACAGTGAGGTCTGGTGTGAATCAAGGCGGTGAGCAGGAGCTGGGCAGGCAGAGTGCGCTGTGGGGTTTGTGGGCTGGCTCAGTCGGGGGCGCCCTCTGCTGGGCAGAGCGCTACACAACAAGGCAGGCACAGCTCAGTGCAGTGGGGGAGAGGCAGCCTGAAGGGTATGGTGGCCATGTGGGGTGCGGTGTGCACGGTGGTGGCTGGGTGCTAGCTGGGGCTCAGCATGTGAGGACTGCTGTCCAGCTGAGGTGAGTGGTGAGGGGTGAAGGGGTCCATGGCTGTATTAGATGCAGTGTGTGTGATGGCTGTGGGATGCTGTGTAGAATGCAGTGTGGGGTGGGTGTTCAGGGTGACCCACTGCCTCAGTGTCCCTCCTGATGTTCTGTGCAGTGTGTGGAGTGCTGCTGACATACCGGACACCTGCCCTGGACTGCCCTACAAGCAGGTTGTCCCAAATCCTCTCTCCTCCAAATTCCTGCATCTCCCACGTGGAGACAGAGCTGAAGTTCTCAGCCCCCAAGCCTAGTCCTAAAAAGCAAACAAACCAGCCAACCCAGGGACTAGTGCCTGTGATGGGTCAAGGGTTACAGGTGACCCACAGCGGGGGTAGCAGGGATCATACCAACAGGAGGCCTGTCCAGGGTGTACCAGAGGTTGAACTGGTCTGGGTGAGTTCTGGCAATTTCTTCAAGCTCCTTTCTCACCAAGATATCCTCCTCTGTCTAGAAAAGAAGCAACATGAGCAAAGCCCTCCCAGGGACATCCTGCTTGTTCCCCAGACTGAGCACACGGGTCAGCACATTCCTGGCCAAGCTGCCATCACTTGAGCCAAGTGCTTGCCGCAGACTCCTGGGGCAAAGGAGAGCTCTGCTGTGGCTCCTGCACAACAAACCCTCTCTTGTGAGTGGAGTTATTGGGAGGCTCCCACAGAGCTGTGTGCCTGCCCTTCAGAAGGAAGGCCATGGCTGAGCACCTCATGGTAGGGTGGCTTCAGAGGTCCCAGCCCCACCTCCTACATCCACACTGAGTATGAGGCAAGGCAAACCCACTGGAACTGGGACCTTCTGTAGGGCATGTGAGGTACTTAGGCAGTAATACATAGTATAGTATATAACATAACGGCTGGAGAGCTAAAGGAGAGGAATACAAAGGCTGGAGCCTCAGTGGGGAAAAGGGAGCCAAAGCCAAAAGGCACTTGTCACAGCCTCAGAGACACTGCAGAGAAGACCTGGATCTTAAAACTCTTCATGATGCTTGTCCCCAAAATTCCACTTCTAGGATTCTGTTTAAGAAAATAATCTAAAAGTCATCAAGCCTAGGCACAATTATCCATCACTGTATCACTTACAACTGTGAAAACTGAAAACAACCTACATGTAGAGGATTTAGTAAATTATGGTACAACTTGATAGACTATGATGAAAATATTTATAAAGAGTTTTAATGAGATGAAAATGACTGTGTGGTAATGTTGAGTGAAAAACCAAAACAAAGCAAAACAAAACAAAATATATATATATATAATTGTAAATATATAGCATGTATACAAAAAAGATAAAAAATAAATATATGCTTCAGTATTTTCCAAAATTCCCACTAAGGGCATCTATGATTTTATACTCAGAAAAACAGAACGATATATTAAGGAAGAAAAGCTTAGTGCGTAGGCTTGGATGGGGAGATGGAAAGTTAAAAAAAAACAAAAACAAAGGGAAAAGCAGGCCTGGATTCAGCCTCTCCGGCTGCCTTGCCTGAACTGAGCGCACGAAGCCCTCCCACAGCCGCAGGCCCCCCAGCAGCCTGAGCTCCCTCAGTGGGGAGGAGTGAACGCTCAGCACGCATTCCATCCTACCTCAGCAGGCGCAAGGCTGACGCGGCAGAACTGACCTGGTTGGCAAAGATGAGGGACATCGTGGTCTTGTCACTGGGGTTCCTGGTGATGTGGCGAATGAGCTGCAGCATGGGGGTAATCCCTGGAACATAGTTAGCGGGCAGGCCAGCTTTCGCTCCCTGTCTGATGCCCACAGTCCCTGGTCTGCAGCAGCTTAAGTTTTCCTTGGCCCCAGTTCTACTTTTCTCACTTCTGTTCCCAAAACTCAAAGTGGCGAACTGCCTGTCATTTTGGTTTTCCGTTCTAATGCAACAATAAATCAAATCCTTTTCTCATTTTCACATGGCAAGAGGGAAGCAGCACTGGTTTTGGAAGTGGAACTGGGTTTCACGCCCAGCTCCCTCACTGTCTGACCAGGGTGAGTCACGTACCCAGTCTGAGAGCTCCACTGTCCTCATTTGTAAAACAGAATTAATGGTGAGTAAATGCAGTAGTTTTAAGAGTGCCTGTTATGGTGCCTGGCATGTTGTAGGTCTCCTTACATGCTCGTTCTCTTCTTTCAGGCATTCACTTTCAAAGGAAGGGGAGTCAGGCTTGAACAGGATCCAGGAGCCCTTGGGGACCACGTGTGGGCCTGCCCAGCCTGGCTCCCAGATTCTTCCAAGTTCCCCAGCCTGACTTTAGAGGTTCCCCAGGGCTCCTGGGGCAGCCATATTGGTTAAGGGGAGCAGGGCATATAGGGTCAGTTTCAAGGCTTGTCATTGACCCCGTGTTCCATCTCAAATAGCCAGGGAAGGAATCTCTCACCTCACCCCCTCTAGGATCAAATGACTCCAAAGTCAGAAAGGTCTCAGGGCTTACCCTGAGGATGAAGTCCCCTGAAACCTCTTACCTGTGCCCCCAGCAATCATTCCCAGGTGATGGGCCAGTTTTTTTTCAGGCTCACTCGTTTTGTGTGGTTTGATTGAAAACTTCCCTGGAAACACAGAGGATACTTCTGACGTCTGCAGCTCTTGCCTGAGAGCCTGCAAAAGATCACTGACTTTCCCTGGGACTCCCAGGAGGCAAGTCTACTTAAGGAAGTGGTTGCATCATTTTAAGTCAGAGGAGCAGGCTAGGGTGGCCTCCTTGGCCAGCCCTGGTGCACCACTGCACCAAGTGGGAATAGAGCCTGGGCCTTCTTGGGGAATCACTGGACCTTTTCTTCTAAGGAAGGAAGGAAGCATGCTGAAGTTAATATGGAGTCTCACAGAGCACTCCTAGCCCCAGCAGTCAATGAGTGAGTAAATGATGAATATGTGAGTAAATGAATGAGTGTGGACTCCATCCACCCATCCATCCATCCATCTTGCAGCATCAGCAGGCACCTTTTATGTATCAAGCATGTGCTGGAGATATAGTGATGAGGAAAAACCAAATCATTCCCCTACCTTAATGAAACTTACAATCTCATAAAGTGGGAGTGTGAATGAATGTTGAAGACTTTAAGGACAAGTCCATGTAACTCAAATCTGAGGAATTTTCTAGAACAATGGAACAACTGCAGGAATCTTCTTCCTCCCAGCTGAGGGCCTAGTGTGAACCCCCCAGTACCTTGCCCATGATAGAACAGGCGCCCAGTTGGCCCTCGAATAAGGATGGTGTCCCCAATTTTCATGTTCTCCAAGTACTGAGTCATCTTCCCCCCTTCTGGATGATTAGGGTGTTCGTTTTTGAAGTAGATCTGAAAAATAAGGCAGGATGGTTTTCACACCCTCAGACCTGAGGCCACAGCCCACACAACTCAAAAATGTGTTTGCCACTGGAATCTATGTGGAGAAAATCCTCTGCACTCGTTGTTGTAAGCAACCCCTGAAGACATACATCACCAGGTTAACAGCTTCACTGTTAAAGGACACTGCTGGGAAGCCCTGTCCAAGACATGTCCTGTCTCCACCCCACTACCCTTAACAGGCTTGTGACGGTGAGGTAGCTGGACATGTGGGCATCATTTACCTTTATAATAAAGTCCACAAAGCCTCGATCATCATCACTGGACACAGGTGTATAAGCTCTGACCACCATATCACCGTCAATTATGGCCAAGAGATGGACATAGTTACCTGCAGAAAAGGCATCAAATGTTAAGTCTGAGCATGGCTGGCCTAAACAGGACCCAGGATTCCCATAAAGGACTGAGCTTCAGGGAGGTGGGGGCATAGAGGGGCAGGTGCATGGGAGGAGGGCCAAGCAGGGAAGGAGCCCAGACCCAGGATGCCTGAGTCCTAGGCCTGCCCTTGTCACTCCGTGTATGAGCCTGGGCAAGTCTGGGTGAATGGCAATGATATACCCATCCTGCCTCCATCATGGTGTACTTGTGAGTTTCACAGACAGGAGACCTACTGCCAGTATGTGCTTACTGTGTCAAGGTACTTTGTGGAGTAGGAAGAGCTAATTACAGTTGAAGGCTGAGTATTAAAAATTACAAAAAGGAGTGTTTCTGTTTTAAAGCAAAATATGTTGCCTTCACCAAATCATTTCTTCCTAAACTGGATGTATCACTGGGGTCAGTGAATGAATCACAGCCCCCTCATCTGTACCCTGCTGCGTGGTACAGAGCAGGCCTGGGCTCACAGGTATGCAGGGCCCTGGGATTTGGACACCTATGGACCAGGAATTCTAGAAAGAACACTGTCTTCCTGGCCCGATGGCTCTGCTGAGGGGAAGCTGTAAAGTTCTGAACCATGTAATTCTGCCTCTCCAGGGTAGAAATGAATGGACCAGCTGTGGCCTGAGACTACATCCCAATGCCACATGATGGGCTAGGCTGCTCAGTTTTCTGTTGGATCTAGCATGGGAGACTTCAGTGACTAAGGCAGTTGGTGGTGAGGGCAGAAGCTGAAATCAAAAGATGCTAAGAGACAGAGGCAAGAGGAAGCTCTGTGCCAGAGTACCTGAGGGAGCAGAAGCTGTGTATGCTCAGGATATGCAGACGGAAGTGGAGACCCAGAGACAGACAGAGGAAGAGGAGGAGGGAGGGGACGCTGGAGGCGCCAGTCCTTCTAGTTGCTTGGAGCATAAGCTGGCCTTTGAGGTGGCCCTGAGCCTGGGGTGCAAACGCTCTGGGTTAAGAAAGGACAGGCTCAATGACAGGCACCAGGGATACCCAGGAATAAACACCTGAGGTAGCTTCCTTCTGAGAACTCATCTGAAACTGGAAACCTTAGACAGGCTTTTTCAGAAGCAGCCAACCTAGGCCTGGCCTGGCAGTGTGCCCAGTGAAAATGAGGCTGCCCCGGCTGGTCCCTCAGGCCCCACCTCTAACCAGCTTTGTTTCAGCCAAGCTGGGGAGCATCAGCAATCTCTGAGTCCTCATAGCAGGCTCCCCCACAACCCTCTAAATTACCTCATCCCACTAACTATGCACTGCATACACCAGGGCTGACGACAGATGGGGTCCTGGCAGATTCAAAGAAACTCTTTTTCTCAAAGATTCTCTTCTTTTAGCCTTGTTGCCAACAGGACTGGCCCCACAGCCAGGCAGAGGGCTAGAAGGCAAGCTGAACTGAGCTCTCACAGATGGAGAAGGAGAAAGGAAGCACCAAAGAGGCTCAGGGGCCAGGCTGGCTGCCTAGTGTGTAATTTCATCACCGGCAGGAGGTGAGGTCAGGGTCCAATGCACACAGGACAGCAGGCCATGGATTAGGATCTCCACCAGGCAGGCGAGCAGCACTAGCAGTTTGTACAAAGCCCTGGATCCCCAGGCTGTGGACCTGGTAGAGGTTTTCCACCTCACTAAGACTGACTCAGCCATCTGTGGTGTTACAGACTAAAATGGGATAACTCGGGACTCTAGGAATGGTAGGGCTGGTATTCACAATGGGTCCCTCCTTGTGTGGGTCTGAGGCCCCTACTGCGAATCCATGTGGTGGTGGGGGGGACATCTGACTCCCTCCTGCCTCTCCACACATTCTGGGCCTTTCTCCTGACTGCAGGGGAACATCAGTTCCTCCTCTCCCTTCCAATATGCGGAGCATTTTGCAGTTTCTGAATTTTCATGTCCACTCATCACTTTACCCTCACAAAAAACCAAGTGGCAGGCAGGCCTGGGAAACCCCATTTCATAGCCCGAGGCTCAGAGAAGTTGAGGAACTTGCCTAAGGTTGCCCAGCAAGGAGCCTGCAATGAGATCTTAGACTCTCTGACTCTAGACTCACTTCTTTTCTTTTTTCTTTTTTTTTTTTTTTGTTGAGGAAGACCGGCTCTGAGCTAACATCTATTGCCAATCCTCCTCCTTTTTTTCCCCCCCAAAGCCCCAGTAGATAGTTGTACGTCATAGTTGCACATCCTTCTAGTTGCTATATGTGGGATGCGGCCTCAGCGTGGCCGGAGAAGCGGTGCGTCGGTGCTCGCCCAGGATCCGAACCCGGGCCGCCAGTAGCAGAGCGCGCGCACTTAACCGCTAAGCCACGGGGCCAGCTCCTAGACTCACTTCTTTTCAATGCTCATTGAGATATTACTTTTGTGTCAGCCCACATCGAACAATGAGAAAGGGAATGGACTGTCCCCAAGCCCATCTCCCTATTTCTCTGAGCTCATGTGTCTCAGCAAAGGTATGAGGGCAACCTCTACAGCCCAGCTGAATTTCTGACAGGAGCAGAGTGCCTGCAAGGCCCGGTCCTGGTGATGACACCAAACCCCACTCACCTACAGGAAGCCCTAAAACGTGGTCTGGCGAGGGCAGTCCAAAGCGGAACCTCCAGGTGTTGTGGTTGATTTGCTAATAAAACAAAACAGAGGCAGGCTCTGTCAGCTTTCTAAAAGTCTTGCTGGGCAGCTAAGATGCCTGGGAAAGGAGCTCCATTTGGTGCTATCCCAGTGTGCGTGCGCGCGCGCGCGCGCACACACACACACACACACAATCAGAGTGGGGAGCAAACTGGAGGCCATGAAATGCCTGTCCCACTGCCCTGCTTCCCGGCCAGCACATTGCCCACCACTCTTGTCCTCTTCTCTTTCACCCACTGATAGTGAAGGGGGTGGGTTGACCCATTACCTCTTTCTCAATCAAGGGCAGTGGGTACTTGGTTTCAGGGTCCTGTAAGGTGATAAGAGGTCTCTTCCCTGAGTTCATGTTTTTCAGGACGAACAGGAGCACTGTGACCCCGATGACGGTGATGGCAAGGAACAGGGACGGGTCCTAGCCAGACACAATGTAAGCAGGGCACCTCAGGTCCTGCCTGCCCTGGGCAAGGCAGCTCGCAGGCACAGTAGCACCCTCCCCACACCAAAGGCACAGAAGCTGGGCGGTGCCTGAAAGAAACTAGGCAGAGGGAAAGGTACTTAAACAGAAGGCAGGCTGAGCCTATGGTGGACCTGGAGGGTAGGGAAGGGTCAGCTGCAGGTCGGACAAGGCCGGATGTTTCAGGCCCCCTGGACCAGTCCAGGCAGATGGCCTGGGAGTGCTAACGTCACCATGCTTTTCCTGCCCATCGGCCTCTATCCTGGGTACAGCCAAGGGTGCAAGCCCCGGGAGTCCTCTCTTTGAGGTGGAGGGGGTGATAGCATTGCTTCTAACACACAATCTGGAATGAAGGCCCTGGCCCCTAAAGACAGAACTAGAGAGGGGGATGGAAGCCATGTCCTCCCAGAGGTGGTTGTGGCTTTGAGCTGGGCCAGGGATGGGGCTCACCACCCCACTCCCCCCATCCAGGTCCGGCTAGGGCAGGGGTAGGGGTGGGGTGAGTAGCTCGGACTAGGGGGTGCTCCCATACCTTAGCGCCAGCACCCTCCAAGGCAGGAGAAGGCCTGAGCAGTCACCTACCAGCGGCTCGGCTGGCCTCCCGCATCTGCCCCCAACCCCCCACCCCGTCCCGAAAGGCAGGTCTGCTCGTTTCGGACTCCAGCCAGACCCGGCGGGATTCGGGAAAGGTCCTCTTCTGACACCGGGCGCTGCGATCCCCCGCCGCGCACCCCGCCTCTCCAGCTCCGCTCGGGGCCCGCCCCGCTCCCCGCCCCTCGCGGCCCGCCCTCTCCCTTAGTCCCCGATGGGGGCTCCGGGGGTCCCGTCGGACTTCCCCCCGCTCCCGCCGCCTCCGCGTCTCCGGCCTCTCCCCGCCGGGTCGTCCCGCCCCTGGGGACCCACCCGGAACGAGAGGCCGAACATGCTGTCGAAGTGGGGCGGCTGGGAGACCGCCGCGCGCCGCCCCCACGCCGCACCTCCGCCTGGCGGACCGGAGGGCCTCGCAGGCGGGCCGGGCCGACGCTGGGTACGCGGCTAGGCCGGCAAACGCGCGCGCAGGGCCGCGGGGGCGCGCGGGGGTCCCGGCTGAGAGGGTGGTGGGCGCGCGGGGATCCCGGCTGAGGGCCGCGGGGGCGCGCGGCGGGCACGCTCTGCGCCGACCCCCACCCGCGAGGGCCCGGGGTCGGCAGGTTCTTTCTCGCGGGACTCTGGCTCTGCTCCCGCCCTGCCCCCAGGGCCCCGCACAATCCAGAGGCTTCCAGGGCGGGAGGGAGGCCCCGCGGAGAGCCGGGGCTCCTCGCGGCTAGTGAAACATCCCTGGTTTATATATGCGGCCGCTTCTCCATCCTGCTCCTCTCCCCGGACGCTGAGGGACTCCCGCCCCTCAGTTTGTTTAAATTATGGCAAAACTGGAGGAAGGGAGGGGCATCTGAGTGACTGCGAGAAAGGGGATGCTGGTCAAAGAAATGGGAATTGGGGCCGCCTCAAAGAGCACATAAATATGTTCATTTGACGCACATAATGAGTTCCTACTCTGAGTCTGGTCAGGGCCAGGTGCTGTCGAGAGTGGGGGGGGGGTGTAATCCAGTTGAAGACATTCATTCAAAGCGCTCATTCATTCATTCTCTGTTGGGAGAGAGAGACGACAGGACCCAACACTAGACCAGTAGGAGGCAGAATGGCCGGCATAGACGGTCATGGGGGTCTTCACGGTACATTTCAGAACTGCGGTAACCCCCCTCTTCCCATCAGTTCTTCCATCGCCAGTGGCGAAGGTGAATCCCTGCCTCCTGGGCTTGAGTGAGACAGAGAAGCCAAGAAAGAGATTTCCCACTCACCCCCAGCCTCCAAACACACGCCTATACAGGGACAGGCGTGGTGGGCGCCTCCTCAACACTTGCAGGTGCCACGATATTATTATCAGATATCTTCATTTTCTACAATCTAGTAAGTGTAAAATGATGGCTTGTGATCCTGATTTCGTTATCTATTTGCTAAGGAGGTTGAACATCTTTCGTATGTTTATTTCCCATGGAGTTTCCTTTTCTGAAAAAAAAGCTCATGATTTTTGCCTATTTTTCTATTGAGTTGTCTTTTTCTTACTGATTTTTAGGAGTCTTATGTATAATGTAGAGACCACTTCGTTGCCAGTTATATCAGTTACAAATGTTTTCTCCCAGCATTCAACTTATTCTACCTTTCCTCCCTCCCTCCCTCCCTTCCTTCCTTTCTTCCTTCTCTCTCTGTCTTTGATGAATAGAAGTTTGTAATTGTAATGTAGTCCAATGTATCCATCTTAAATCTTTTGCCTTTATGGTTAGTGCTTTTTGTGACTTGTCTGGTCCTACCCAAGGTCATAAAGATGTTCTCTATTTTCTCTGACAAGACAAAGTTTTTCCTTTCACATTTAAGTCTCAATCACCTGGAACTGATTTCTGTGTATGATGTGGAACAGGAATCCAATTAAATTTTCTCCATATGGATAATGTGTTGTCTTGGTAAGATTTATTGAATTACTCATACCTGCAGGTCACTCACCTGGAATGCCACCCCAGTCATATGTCAGTTTTCATATATGTATGAGTCTGGTTCTGGTCTGCCTGTTCCCTTGTACTGATCTAGCTGCCCAAACTCTGTGGCAATACTATGCTGCTCTAATTACAACAGTTTATAACAACTGTTTATATCTTTCACTCTTATATATTCTTTGGCTATCAGTTCAAATATCACTTTCTTAGAGGTATCTTCTCTGATCCCCCTATTTAAATAAATGTACACATTCCATTCCATTCATAGCTTTTATTTCAGTTTGTAATTGTACATCCTGAATATTTAATTGTTAAATGACTGATTCACATTAGTCTAGAAGTTCCATTATGGCAGAGACCTTGTTTCCCCAGGGCTTAGCACAGTGACTATCACGTAGATAACATTCAATAAATATTTAGCAAATGAATGAATCAATTCATCTCTGCCCTGCAGCATTTAGCACACTGCCTGGCACATGGTAGATGCTCCATAAACACTGCGGAGAGGAACAATCCTTTCTGTCAGTACTCTATGCCCCTTCCTCACTTAATTTGTCTCCGTAAGACATATCACCAGATGACATATTACGTATCTTACCTACTTGCTTACTGTCTTTCTCTCCCCACCAGAGTGTAATCTCCACGAGGACAGGAATTGCTTTCTCTTTTTTAACTCCTGCTGTATCCCAGGCCTAGGACAGTGCCTGGCAATTTGTAGATGCTCAATAAATATTTATTGCATGTATGAATGAATGAATAAACTTCATTTTCTTCTTTTGATTCAATCAAAAGTCCTTATTTTTGGCTTTGGAATCTAAAGGTGCCTCACCTTTTCCTATGGCTTTGTTAGCAGCTTGCCTCTACCCTCCATTCCCCCTTCTCATTTTCTCCGCATGGTCCCTCCGTGTTACTGGAGAGGCAGACGGCACATCCTCCTTTATTAATCTTGAAGCAGGATAAAAGGCAGGCATTTATCTGGGCTCCCAGTAATTTTGAGAGAGCATGATTAGCCTCTCCTCAGCACTCCTGCACACTTTATACCTGTCCCTCATAGGCTCGTGTGCTGCCTGGATTTTGGCTCATCTGCTGCTAATCTCCTGAAATAGACCACGAGCTCAGGTCTCCCTCTCTAAATCCCCAGGGTGGTAATAGGGCTTAACAAACAGCAGGCCCTCAGCAAATGTTTACTGATGAAAGAAAGAATGAGTGAATGTTGTCACTGTTTGAGCCTGTATGAGATTCTTCCCCCACACGACAGCTTCTCCCATGGGGGACCAAACCTCCCTGGCTGCTGAGGTTCCCCTGGGGGAACCGATGCCCTGACCAAGTTGATGTTCAGAGTGTTTGCTCTCTAAATAATTTCCAGGCTGTTGTGGGCTTTTCATTAGCTTTTTAACCTTGAAAATGCTTTATTTCCATTTTACTCCCTGAAGAAATGACCACCTATTAGGTCCTCGCTGTTAAGCCCAAATTGTGGCAGGCTGAATAATGGCCCCCCAAATATACCCACATCCTAAATCCTGGAACCTGTGAATGCTGCCTTACATGGCAACAGGGGCTTTGTGGCTGTGATTAAGTTAAAGATCTTGAGATAGGGAGACTATCTTGATTATCCCGTGGGCCCAAAGTGATCACAGTATTCCTTAAAAGAAAGATATAGGAGGAGACAGAGAGGAAGGCAATGTGATGATAGAAGCAGCAATTGGAGTGACAAATTTGAAGGTGGAGGAAGGGGCCACAAACTAAGGAATATAGGTGTCCACTAGACGCTGAAAAATGCAAGGAAAAGGATTTCTCCTCAGAGCCTTTGGAAGGAACCAGCCCTGCTTATTACCTTGACTTTAGCCCAGTGAACTGATTTTATAATTCTTTATTCCAGAACTGTAAGAGATAAATTTATGCTGTTTAAAGCCAGTAAATTTGTGGTAATGTGTTACAGCAGCAATGGGAAACTAATGCACTAAATGAGCTAGTGTTTTTGTGTCTTAGGTCTTATTTAATTATACTGGGATTTATTCCAAAAATATATTTCCTGTGATTTGGATCAGAGAAGCCAGGAGGGGCCCTCCTCTCTGATGCTCTCCTTGCTCTAGTTGTGGGTCTCTTTTTTAACATGATGCCCTTCCTCAACAGCCTGCTGCTGCCTGGTCATGAATTCAGCTCGTTGTCTCTGCCAGGCCACATGAGTGGCCCGCCCACTCCATCCCTTCCTCTTCACTCTGGCTCTGGCCTGTCCTTTGTGCATTGTGCAAAAATGTCATCCTTGACAAAGGATCTCAGCAGAGAATTCTGGTTGCCTGGGGTGAGCTATATGAGAGTACACTGATGGAATAGCTAACCCATTCCAAGCACCCAACACCATGACCCAGGCAGAATATTTCTTGAATCGGAAATTCCTTGGTTTTCCTCTGCAAAAATTTTAAACAAAAGTATGTTGACACTACCTGATCAGAATTCCTCACTGAGCACTGCAGATGGGCATAAAGCAATGGTAACACTTGGCTTTCTGGAATGTCTTCAACTTTGACTTGTACAACAGAAATGTGGCATGGAAAACTTTGCATGCTCCTGGCAATGTGGGACTGACATGGGCCTGATGGGGTAAGACTGTATAAAGGCAAGAATCTTGAGACACCCAGAATGACCAGAATTTGCCAGAAACAGTGTGTTTGGGAAGAGTCAAAAGAACAGCTTGCTAAGTCCTATTCCCATGATGCCTCCCACACCCAGGGGAATCCTTTCTGAGCAGCTATGTCTGAAGAGCTACGCCAACGATGCTAGTCAAGTTCCCCACCGATATTTACAGCAGTTGCTTCAACTCTTCCCAAACAGCATCTGTTGTGGCAGGGTCTGGGTTAGAGCCTCCAGAAGATAGTAATAGTGAATTCACAGCTTGGGCTGTGGAAACAATAAGGAATAAGTGGGGGCAGCAAATGCAGTTTCCAGCAGAGAGTTCTACCTGCACAGATGGGTTGTGGCTGCCAGCCTGGGGGCGCGTGTGAGCCTCAGACTTATAATAGGAGAAAGGCTGGCCGCCAGGAAGGGAGAAAGGGAAAATGTCCAAAGGAAAGAGATGAAGGGAAGCATTCATTGGAACACAACCAAGACTTTGTTCACTAACTTGCACCAATCTCTGCTTCCATGTCTCTTACAGGGACAAAAGCAGGAGTTTTTCAGAAAAGAGTTTTGTTTGGGGGGACAATTTCTGTTTTTTTTTTTTTTTAAGCAAGAACAAGTGAAGATAGAGCAAACTGGACTAAAGCCTCCGTTCTGAGACTAACTATAAAACCTTCATTTTCATAGAACTGTGGAGTTTACAAAGCATTTCCTGGAATGGAACATAGTCCTCTGAAATTGTTGTGATCCTTTTACAACCACTTTAGTTCGGAGAAAGAACCTCAGAGAGATTCCATGCCTTGTCCACGGTCACAGGGCTTGAAACCAGCAAGGCTAGGACACATGCCCACGTTTCTGAATCCAGCCTACTATT